ATATCGACTTTTAAAAACTATTCCCCAAGTCGTTTTACGGTTGACTTGTAAACCACCGTGAAACTATATTAGAAACTCTTTTTTTCTTGAAATCTTTCTTCATGGCTATTCCTCATTAAAGTGAGGTCTAAAACCATATTATTTTACTGAAATCACATCTTGGATTCTTTGATAACCTTTTGTTAAAAACATCACTGTTTTAGTTTCGTTTTGTTAAAACTGTGTAGTTTCTGAAATCTGCATCTTGGAGTTAGATTTTGAAAATCTGTCCTTCACAACAATTCTTCGACTCGTCGAGATCTAAAATTGTCATTTTTGGATAAAGTTAAAATTCAGCCTCTAAAGGCCTCGTTTGGCTAAAAACAGTGGCTGCTGTTTTTTTTTTTTTTGCTGTAGCAATCCTTTTAAAAATGTTATAGAATTGCTGTAGCAATCTTCTAATATTGTTGTAGCAATCTTTTTGAAAAGGTTTTAGGATTGCTGTAGCAATCTCTTTTAAAATGCTGTAGGATACTGCAGCAAATCTTCTTTTAAAAATGTTGTAGGATTGCTATAGCAATGCTGTAGCAATCACCCCTTTTTTTTTATTTCTGAAACTGTGTTTGACAGCCCGTCTATTTTTACAAACTGGCTTCAAACTTGCTTTTAGAGTTAAAATTAGGTTTTGTCATAGTCATAGAAAATGTTCAAAACATCGAGGGCTATAAGTTCAAGCTTTGAAACATTGAAAAATCTCGCTCTAGGGTTCTTATTTTCGCGTTCGAAGTAACCGGAAATTTTTCCTCTACCCGGAAATAAGCAAACTTAAATCAAGCATAATCATACTACATTAAACTAACCTCATAACTCACAAAACTAACATAAAACTCCCACACCCTTATTACAACACATCTTCCTCAAGAACCACAAATTTACATCCATAAATTCAAGCTTAAAGTTGGCTAGAAATTAATGGAGAAGAGTTTAAGAACTTACCTTCTCTATTTCAAACTTTCCCAAAACATGAAAAAGAGAGGATTTAGAGTTTCTTTACCCTTAGAGGAATGCTTGACTAGTCTCCTCCTAGAATCCCTTAATCTCCTTCTTCTTCTTCTATGGTGTGCTAGGGGCTCAAGTTTTGGAGAGTGGGAGAAAATATTTGAGAGGAAATGGAGAGTGTGTGGCCGGATTTTTGAGTGGGGAAAAAGCTAGGAGAAAAAAAATGAAGCTTATCCTATGTTGGTTCCTTTTATAGGCACTTGGAAATTATTTTTTTTAACACCAATTCCACTCCATCATTCAACCAAATTTTTGGTTCAAATCCCCCTTTCTTGGCCGGTTTTGGAAGGAGAAAAGAAGAAGCAACTTTGCCATTAATTCCCCTTCAACCACTAACATCACATCACCTTAACATAAAGTCCTCTAGCACACTCCACTAGCCAAAGGTTTGGCTCTATTTTTTCATGCATGCCGGCCAAGTGGAGGAAGAGAGAGAAAAAAATCTCACCTACCCCATTGTACTCTTGTCCACTTTCTTAAGTTTTCCTTTGAAACTGATAAAAATTATACTGACTATAAGAGAGTAACTTAGCTGACAGGAATTCGTTTCCATTTCTGACGGTTCCTTTTTCTACTGCTTATTTACAGTTAAATGTTAAATTCTTGACTGCTTTGGATATCACATTAAATTCTTATTCGCGTAATATCTTGAACTGTTTACAGTCTTGAAATTAATTCTAGACTGAACAAATTCTAAATTTAACTTTCCTGCGTTAATTTTCGGAAATGACGTTGTTTCTGACGGTGTCAACTCCCAAGTTCACATTGTACCCTTCTACTATGGGTATTTATCTTCTGACTTTAACCTAGCTGTCTGGCAATTAAGGATTTTCTCTTCTTTTAAAATGTCAGTGCGTTTTCTTTTATACGCTGCTAACATCATGCTTTGTTTGGAGATTCTTGAAATTAAGATTCTCAAAACTATACTTGTACTGAAATTATTCCTCCTTAAAGTACGGCGAGAATTTATCGATCGAATTTACTTGATCGAAAACATGAACTTAACATGAAATCTGCTACAGAATTCAGGAATACATATATTAATTCCATAAATCCTTCAGTCACATAATATTTGTCTAAGAAAATTCTTGGCTTAAATACATAAATTGTATTATTTAAGGTCTAGGATTTTCTCAGTCGTTACATACTTTAGATCCCTAAAAGGGATCAACGTGGGACTTTGGCTTCATAAGGAGAACAGGAACAAGGAGCAGAAGAATCACGAACCACAATCCTCAAAAATTCAAAACCGCAAATATTCGTCCGCTTCCTTTCTCTTCATGTATTCTCGTCATCTATTTGAGAAATTATCCTTTTTGGATAAAATAACAAAATCCCTTTACTAGGAATAACAACTGTTGATGTTAATGCTAGTGTATGTATCTTCCTTAGTCAGCGTGACACATCAGCCGAGTTATCGAATATGGCATTGTTACAGTGCCAGCGTAACTCATCAGCTGAGTTATCTAATAGAGCAATGATATAATGCACCGAGCACGATCCACTAATAGAAGGTGGTTCTCGTAGCGTGAGATCTATAGGTGAGACTCACCTTTTATTAGCGATGGTACTTAACACAGGTGGTGCTCCTAAGCATTTTTCTATCTAATATCAAAATCAATTAGTTAATAATCAGTTATTAGTCTGAATTCAAGGTTGTAATCAGATTGGTTAGTTCCTTTTGTATTCTGATTTATTGTTGTATATTATAAAAAGGCACGGTGTGTAAGCCTGTTATTGTGACGACTGATCAAAAGGGTGTAACTGGGGACTCCAGGTTAGAGATCCAGAGAGAGAAGTTCCTTTTTCTCCCTCGTGAGATCATTGTTTTCATGTACAGAGAGACAATTTCATTTCAGAAGCACAAATTAGGTGCTCGAGTGTGTAATTTGCTGATTGTTTGTAATAGTGAATTATATTGGAGACAACTGGTCGCACTGGTGTTTTGCTCATTTTCTTGGCTTGTTAATTTATGTTCCAAAGCATTCTTGATTGCATAGTGTTCGATCTAAGGCCGGTGTGTTCATGTGTTCTTCTAATTTCTAAATCTTTCGTCGCACCGAAAATATTACCAGCAGTTTGCAAAGCGAGCATTGACTGGAAACCCCAGTGATCATATATGGTAAATCGCAATGTTGATGCATTTTCTTTTCAAATACTTCATAAACTCTTCTCGTATACCACCAAAACAAAAAAAAAAAAACCCAGTTAAATAAAGTTTTAAAAAAGTTACTAGTACCACAAGTGCCCGCCAACTTCATATTATTGCTTCAATTAGTAAATACCCCAGTCATAACATGGCTCTTGACTCGTTGTGTTGTGGGCCTTGTAGAGAAATTTACGGGAGTTCTGTTGGTCGACTTTAATATAGTTCATAGATGAGCCCAGATTGTTCCTTTTTCTGGAAAAGCTAATATTTCATCCTCAACAGTAGCAGCATATATAGTGGCTTCATAATGAAGCATCATAGCACATCATGTCTCCAAACTAAATCCTTTCTAGATTTTGTTTAGTATTAATTATGTGTTAAATCTAGATTTTTGTGGTGGCCGATGATGATAGTTGGACTGCGAGAAAGGCAACGAGGGCTTCTTGGAGTTTGAGGATAATGGATTATTTTAGAGTCTCTAATTAGAATTTTTTTTTTTTTTTTTTTTTAAGTTGGGGTATTGGCACTTTCAGTGCATGAACTATAATTGCATTCTATAAATTAACCAATTTCAGTTGGTATCAGGAGATAAGATGTGATTATATTTGTTAAATTTCAGAAATCCATTATCAATCTAAAGGTCATAGATTATAAAACTGTCAAAAAATCAAATTTCAAGGAGTAATATTATCTATCAAGAAAAAGAACTCGATCGAGGACAAAACTGACATAATACTCCTAATTAAGGGTATAATGATGCTAATAACCCATATTGTTCTTTTTTTTTTTTTGGTCTTTTTTGAGGAAACCTTTATAATTATTATGTCAGAGTTAATTAACTTAAAGGATAAACACGATATTTCTTAATTCCGAAAAAAAAATATCTAGAAGTTACGTCTCGAAACATCAGGGACACGTTGTAAAAATATAAAGCACCAACTATATAATTTCAAAAAACAATTGTAAAAAAAAAAAAAGAAAAAAAAAAGAAAAAATATCCTAGTATGATCTAAGCTCTATTATTTCTTTCTCACATAGAAAATGATGGCTAGTGTTGAGAAAACTAACAAACAATTACGGAATAAAATTTTCTCTTTTTGTATGTTAAAATAGGATCTTAAATAAAATGTTAACAAAGTCAAATAATTAATGCACCAATTAATCAAAACAATCAACTATAAATGAAACACTAATTTTTAGCGTAAAAAACTTCTTAAATTGAGAGTAAAAATTACGGAACTTTTAGGCCACTTAAATTTCTTCCACTATATTAACAATGAGATTATAAAGTTTCTCTCTAGAATCAAACTAGAGGCTCACAACAATAATATCATCAAGAAATACTATTCTTGGTTCACCAACAATAGAGACATCATCATCAAAGATGGATAACAACAATAACACTAAAGAAAAGTTTATGTCTCACTAAATTAAGAGTACTCAAGAGAGTACTAAAGAGATGTTAAATGAGAAATCAAGTCTAATAAATTGAAAGAGCTCAATTCTTCACGTCAAATTTGAGCCGAAACCGACGTTTCGCCACTCAGTCATCTTACACAAACACCAAAATCCTACCCCTTTTCTCTTTCTCTCTCCCTCCTTTTCTTTTCCTCTGGTGTTCTCGGCTGTACTCTCTGCTCTCCCGATTCTCCTTCTTATTTTCTTTTCTATTTTTTCCTGGTGTGCTGCCCACGCAGCATGGCTTTTTTTTTTTTTGGCATTTGGGCTTAAGGCCCATTCTTTGTTCCGGCCCACAAATGGGGCGGAACCCAACAGCTAGCTATAGCTAGGAAGTATCTGCCGGCATCTTAAAACCATCAGAAACAAGAAGAGCATAAAAGTACTGAATCATGGCAATTGCTGTGAGGTTTTCCAGCTTGTATCTGTCAGCTGTTAGTCTGATCATCCTCAACACTGTAATCATCGGTGATGCCCAGTTCAGGTCACCGGAAAAACACACGGCGCTCTTCGTGTTCGGCGACTCATTGCATGATCCAGGAAACAACAACTATATCAACACCACTGCCGAGTACAAAGCAAATTTCTGGCCTTATGGGGAAACATTTGTTGGTATTCCCACCGGAAGATTCTCCGACGGCCGCCTAATTCCTGATTTTATAAGTGAGATCTTAATCCTAATATACTTCAAGTTATATGTAAGTTACGTTTAGTTCGCTTTAACTACTAGGTTGTTTAAATGCATTTTAATTGTAGGTGAGTATGCAAAATTACCATTGATTCCACCGTATTTAAATCCCGGGGTTCACAACTATGAATATGGGGTGAACTTTGCTTCTGGCGGGGCTGGTGCTCTTGTTGAAACTCATCAAGGTTTTGTAAGTGATCTTTGTCATAATTAACTCAATGTATTCTATTAGTAAACTGATATTCTGCGTATTGAGTGTTTTTAACTCTAGAAACTTATTGTCGTTTTTGGGTTTTAGGTGGTAGACCTTAAAACTCAGCTGAGTTATTTCAAGAAAGTGGAGAAGCAGTTAAGGAGAAAACTTGGTGTCCGAAAAGCTAAGGAATTGATATCTTCAGCTGTTTACTTGTTCAGTGTGGGAGGCAATGATTATCTTTCCCCTTTCACGTTTAACTCCAGTTTATATGACAAATATTCTAACAAAGAATACATTGGCATGGTGCTTGGCAATTTGACCCAAGTTGTTGAAGTAATGATAGATTGCGTGCGATGTTATATGTGGGTGTGTGTATATGTTTCAATTCTCTTTTTGGTCCATTTAGTTTGTGATTTTTCTTATATATGCAAGTTTGATGGGTGATCAGGGAATATACAAAATAGGAGGAAGGAAATTTGGGTTCTTAAATATGGTACCTATGGGTTGTCTTCCAGCGGTTAAAATTGTTCAACCGGGAAATACTGGTTCTTGCGTTGAAAAAGTTAATTCACTGGCGAAACTGCACAACAGAGAACTTCTTAAAGTCCTCCAACTGATTCAGAGGCAGCTCAAAGGTTTCATCTATTCAGTGCACGATTTGTATACTTCTTTTAGTGAAAGATTGGAGAACCCATTGAAATATGGTAAGATTGTATTATGTTACAATTATATTTTAACACCAATAATTATCTTGTGACATAAAAACGATTTAAGTTGTTGATGGTTTTGTGAAGGTTTTAAGGAAGTGAACGTGGCATGTTGTGGGACCGGTCCGTACAGAGGAGTTTATAGCTGTGGAGGGAAAAGAGAAGTGAAAGAGTTTGAATTGTGTGATGATGTGAGTGATTTCTTATTTTTTGACTCTCTTCATTCGACCGAGAAAGCCTACAAGCAACTTGCAGAACTCATCTGGAGTGGTGAGTCTGATATCACAAAGCCTCTCAATCTCAAAGCATTATTTGAACTTGAGAAAAGTCATGTCTATTTTGGCATTAAAGACACAAGTTATGATGCTGCCTAAATGTGGAAAAAAAAAAAAAGTTACGATGTTGTGAGTATGTTCCTTCGACTACGAAAAATTGACGAGCTAATGCCTATATGAAGCTTTCAATATCTTAAAAAGTTATCTGTTTTTTTCGTTCTCTCTCTCTCTCTCTCTCTCACTTTTTTTTTTTTTTTACATGTTCTCATCTTCTACTGCAAATGCATGTAGCTTTTTACAAGAGAACTTGTCATTTTGCAATTTGTTACTTGTGTTGTGTTTGTCTATTGATCATCATGTGATGGACTGCGGTTGCTTTCGATGGTGTTTATTTTATTATTATTTGTTTCGTTTATGGAAGTATAGTTATCATTTTTCCATTGTAAAACTCATTACTGTGATTTTCAAGGGGGGGAAAAAAAATCTTTGCTGTGGGTTTAATTTCTCACTTTGTTGTCGTTTTCTTTCTTGATGTTTATTTCAGTTTTCTTCCCCCTATTCCATTATGTTTTGGTTTCCACACTGCTCTGTATTGTAAGTGTTGTCGTTTGCTAATTATGTGCAAGATTTTCTACTTTATTGTTTTTCTGTTGGCAGGGCTGTTAAAACAACTGACAATTTAGGAAAACCCATCAATTCAGATATTTCAAATTAAATCAACTAATCGTTTATCATTTTTGAATTGTTAGTTAGTTTTTATTTTTTTTCCCTTGAATTCTTGAATGTTAGTTGGTTTTGATCATCGTGAGATAGAGATAGCTTTTTATTAATCGGTTTTACATCCAGTCCCGTTTAGTTTACGTATTCAAGTTAATAATTCTAATTCATATTCAAATTATTTATGAGAAAACCAAACATTTTAGTAAAATCAGAATCATGAGTTCAAATATCTCTACCGCATGGGGCCTCAGTTTGGCGTATTAAAACGACTAGACAAATATATATGTAGAGAAAAACTTTTTTTCATAATTTTAAAACAATTTCTTAATTCTTGCATCTCATCATTTTATTTGTTAATATGTCTTTCATAAAACACCTTATAACACAGAACAATACTTAAAACACATCATTCAACACTGTATACTAAGAGAGAAATGTAACAATATAATTAAAAAAGAAAATAAACAAAGGAAGAAAAGACAGAATTTGAGGTGGTTCGATAGTATGTTTACATGAATCATAAGACTATAAAAAGAGAGAGAATTTATTATCATAAGATTCATAAGGAGCAGTACTGTGCAATGATTCTTTAAATAAATACAAGTTACAATACTATCAAATCTTTATATTAATTTCCTCATATAAATACTAATAATATAATAAAAATATATATTAACTAGCCATAATAAACGGATTCCACAGCGTATGATCCATAAACAAGAGTTACTCTCTATCAATGGTGCTTGTGGTAATTGCGCCCCCAAGCATTTTTCCTCATCACAAATCTTCATTAGCTTTTACGCAGTAGTTCTGTAATTGCAAAGGAAGAAGGCCTTCAGGCTCCTAATTCAAAGCAGGTAACTGAGGACAAAAGTTGTTTATTTTTTTTCTGAACTTACAATCTCCCCTCAAACTCTACCCCACCGCACCAGAACCCCCCTCTCTTAGGCAAGTTGTTGTTTATTTTCTTGTCTCTTGTTTTTAGATGTGTAATATTTGAGTTATGATTTGAATTGAGAATCTTTTTGAATTTATATTTGGGTATGTCAAAATTTAAATTTATATTTAGATAGTATTTTAATAAAAACTCAATGGTGATGAAAAATTTTAATAGGGTATATAGGTGGAGTTTTATTCGTCTTTTCATTGTAAATGTATAGAAAAAAAAATCATCTCAATCAGAATTAAAATAAAAAAGTTATGATATTTTTAAGAATAGAAAAATTATTGTTCATTAACTTGAGTTCGAGTTTATAAACTCGAGTTGAAGAAGAAACTTAAACTCGAGTTTAGCCCTAAACTCGGGTTTAAACTCAAATTTTATAAAAGAATATGAATTTAAATAAAATTGTAACTCGAGTTCAAATTTTTTCTGAATTTCGTTACAAAATAACAACTCTTTATTGCTTTTATTTTTTTCAAAAATGATTGTCGATCAACTTTAATAATATATTGCTAAGCGCAGATTTATCCTTTCCGGCGGCTAAAATGATTGTACTTTGTCGTTAGAATTCTTAATTTGTTTTTAAAATTATTATGTCGGAGTTTTTTTTTTTTTTAACATCCCACGCATTTTAAACTGTAAAGAACCAATTTTTCTCAAAACACAAAAGTTGATTTTAAAAAAAATGTCAACTCTATTATTTTTGTTGAAAAAATCGGGTATTTCTTACTTAAAAATAACTTTATTATGCAGTACATGCGAATAGTATCATACAGATGAACAGTAATATACGCAGCAGACAAAACTGACAGAACTATTGAATACTGAAAATAAATAAATAAAAAACATCATAATTAATAACAAAGTTCGGTCAAATATTGTTTATGTCTTCGGGCATTGTGGACCACTCTATTTACTTAAAAAAAAAAGATTATAAATTGAGTAGAAATTACAAAAGCCCACAAATTAAAATTTTAACAAATTTCCTATAAAATTACAAAATGGAGAAACTCTTAATTTTTAGGATGCAAAATAAATGAGAAAAGACCTATATTTATATCATCTACTTTTCTTTCTTTTTTTATGCGTGAACTAACTATAAACAGTTAGATCTAAAATTAACACCGTTTTCAGTACTGTCTCTTCTTCTTCTCCCTCCCTGACTTTAGTCCCGTTCATTTCGCTGATTCGAATTTAGAATTCTAGTTTTGCTACAATAAAAAACCTTCACAAAAAGTCACTTCTAACTTTTTTACTACAGTAAAAAATTTTCATATAAAATTATATCTCAACTTAAATTAAAAAATCTAATCAACGACCTAAACGGCCTTTTCTCTTTTAATTTTTAACGTAAATATGCGGCCCATATTTTTTACAATGAGTTATGTCTCAAAACCGTCTACGTGGACTTGGCTTTTGGCTTTTGTCTTTTGTCTTTTGTCCATACTCTGCATTTAGACTTTGGCTTTTTTACCGCTAATAGCTAAACCATCCAAAGACCCTTATAAAGAGCGTTTCAAGCTAAAGAAAAGACGAGAGCATAAAAGTAGTGAATCAGGTTAAGGATATGGCAATGACTTTGAGGTTTTCCGGCGTGCATTTACCGGCTGTTTGTCTGATCATCCTCAACACTGTAATCATCGGCGCCGTCCACTTTAGGCCACCAGAAAAATATGCGGCGCTCTTCGTGTTCGGTAACTCATTTTATGATCCGGGAAACAACAACTACATCAACACCACCACTGAATACCAAGAAAATTTCTGGTCTTATGGAGAAACCTTTTTCCGTTTTCCCACCGGTAGCTTCTCCGATGGCCGCCTGATTCCTGATGTTATAAGTAAGACATAAATCATAATATAATTAAACATATATGCAAATCATTTTCTGTTTTCTTGTTTTGCTTATGTTTTAAAATAATCGTAGGTGAGTCTGCAAAATTACCATTGATTCCGCCGTATTTAAAGCCTGGGGTTCAAAAACTGTGAGCATGGGGTGAACTTTGCTTCTGGTGGGGCTGGTGCTCTTGTCGAAACTCATGAAGGTTTTGTAAGTGATCTTTATCACTTGTTATGATTAGTTACACGTACAATTTATTATGAGTAAAAAGCCATTCTGCATTTTGAATGTTTTAACCCTTAAAACTCAGCTGAGTTATTTCAAGAAAGTGAAAAAGCAGTTAAGGAGCAAAGTGTGCGAGAAGCTAAGGAATTGATATCTTCAGCTGTTTACTTGTTCAGTGTGGGAGGCAATGATTATCTTTCCCCGTTGATGTTTAACTCCAGTTTATATGACAAATTTTCTAAGAAAGAATACGTTGCCATGGTGCTTGGAAATCTCGCCCAAGTTATCAAAGTAATGATTGATCCCATGCTATAATATATGGATGAGTTTTTAATGTTTACATTTTATTGTATTTTATTTTTTTGTCAATTTAATTTGTGATTTTTTCTTGTGCAAGTTTGATGGGTGATCAGGGAATATACAAAATTGGAGGAAGGAAATTTGGGCTTGGGAGTTTACTACCTTTAGGTTGTCTTCCAGGGACTAAAATTCTTCAACCCGGAAATACAGGTTCCTGCTTTAAAGAAGTTACTTCACTCACGAAACTACACAACACAGAACTTCCTAAAGCCCTTCAATACAGAGTCAGCTCAAAGGTTTCATATATTTCAAAGCACGATTTGTACACTTCTTTTAGTAGAAGAATGGAGAACCCCTTAAAATGCGGTAAAGATTGGAATAAACAATAATTGACCTATTTGTTTCATCTGTTTGAACTACCGTTCAAACCTTTTTACTACAGCGTTTTTTCTCATAAAAATTTTGAATTTCTGTTCAACTAATTTGATTGGTTTGTGAAGGTTTTAAGGAAGCGGACATAGGATGTTGTGGAAGCGGTCTTTACAGAGGAGTTTATAGCTGTGGAGGGAAAAGAGGAGTGAAAGAACTTGAGTTGTGTGATGATGTGAATGATTACTTCTTCTTTGACTCTTATCATCCGACCGAGAAAGCCTACAAGCAATTTGCGAAGCTAATGTGGAGTGGTAATTCTGATATCACAGAGCCATTCAATCTCAAAGCATTGTTTGAACTTTAGAAAAGTCACGTAGGTGCAGAGATTTTGAAACCCAATACCGTTGTTGACATATCTATTCTGCTAACATCTACCAGAACTCTTGGCCGTAGCCTGGAAATCCATTACCCAAAAACTAAAGAAATAAAAAAATTACTGATGCATAAATATAGATAGAGATATATATATATATATATATATATTACAGTTACTTGATCCTTTGAAAAGCCTCGAGATTCTCCTTTAAAGTGAATTGGTCCTCTGCTCCTCCAGAATAGTAATCATAGTACATTTTGGGAAGAACTTGCCTCGCCAATTCTTGGAACTCATTCACGTTGACTGGTTCAGCTGCCATTTTCAGCCTGGAAGCATTAAAATCATCTCTCAATCATAACTTTCCACAGAGAGTAAAATAAAGAAAAAGATAGGCTGTTTAATTTCCCAAGAAAAAACAAAATCAGTTTACGTTAATGAAATTAAACAGCCTATCCTTGGAAATTAAACAAAATCAGTTTAATTTCAGAAATTAAACTGGTATATTATCTGATCACGAAAGTACTGTTAAAAGTACAGGGCGTGGGAGAAATCTACGATGTCTTTGGAAAACTTTACTGAAAGATCATTTGTCAAAGCATTTTACACCCCCTTAACCTCTTTTAATTACCGTGACATTATTGACTTGAAAACTCTTACAATGACACCCCTGTCACTTTTTTTTTTGACAGATTCAATTCTTTTTCTTTTTAAGAGAAAATTGTGTTGTAAATTAGAGAAATGCAATCAAAGAATCTATTTAGTTCATATTCAAACTATAATTTATAATTTTGACGTTTGAAATTCAAATTTTTTATAAGAAAAAAATATTGTAGCAAAACTAAAAATCTGAATTGAACCATGCAGAAAAACAAATGCAGTCTAATACTGGGACAAATACAAAACACAAGAAACTAGACCTCGAATGCCAACTGATATCAACGGTATATTATACCGCTGTAACTTAAAAGTTAAGGGAATAGTTCCTTTCTAATACTTAGAATTTCTCAAAATTTATAAAATACCCTTACAATAGTATTAAAACAACTCCATTAGTAAAATATGCGTAAATGACATTTTTACTAATCTCAAATCTAATACAACTAATACATTCATAAAAAAATTTTGCTTGAATGAAATGCGTCAAAGTAGAAAAAATTACTTGGTTCTCATATGACATAACTCATACTCTTTCGTCAATCTACACCCAGAAAATCCACTTTATAAATAATAAGAAAAATTACAATTATCGTTTGAATCAAATCTCAAAGCACCTAACTACCTCAAAACATGATAAGAAAATTCCCAGCAAACTGCAGAAGAAACCCGTCATTTCCTTCCTTAAGAATCACCAAAATTTCATCCTATTACCATGCAAGAAATGTAAAGTAATGTGGGCATTATATCAAACTTGGTTTCACGGCCACCTTTCTTCCCTCCTTTGGCCGCACTCTCTCATATCATGAGAATATTTACACCTGTCTCCATAGTAACACCGGCCTTGAGCATAATGTCGGCACAAGTTTTGTTGTACGTTGTATTGTCTCCTTGTTGGACTCATGTAACGATAATTGTTCACGCTTCTCAATGGCGGTCTTTGAGTAGCCTTCATTGGGAATTCCTTTGGCCAATATATCTGCTCACTCGAATAGGAGTTAGGCCCTCTGTAGTTCAAATGAGGACGATTATTCATGTGCTGAACTTCATGAATGTCATGGTTTATTCTTTCTATGTTACTTGAGCTGCTATACCGAACCAAGTTCTGGGAGACTTGGTTGATATACTTGTCTACTTACTGGGGTTTCTTAAAATTTGCGGAACATTTTTTTTTTTTTTTTTAATATAAGAAAGATACTTTCATAATTTGTAACAATAATTTCAAATAAGTGAATCACTAAATTTCTTAAAGCTTTTCTTAATTTCAGTTAAGATAAAACGTTCTAAAAATATCTTTCAAACAGAGCAGCATTTGAACTCTTATTTCAAATGCTCTTTAAAAGTTTTTTTAACTTCCGCCGGCGATTGCGGCTGATTCCGGCGGGGTTGGAGGGCGTGCCGCATGTCGTTGAACTCAGCTCGTCGAGATCTTTCTATTGACACCGTCGGTGTCAAAAACAGAGGTTGGAATCTGAACTTGGGTATTTGGCCATTGATGGTTTGTGTGAGAGAGAACGTGAGAGGAGAGAGAGAATGAGCGAGAATAAGAGAAAAAAAAGTGCAAGAACCCTAAAAATTTCGCTATATAAAGTATCTGATTAAGGTAAGATTACGTGCCTGATCTTATCCTCAATTATTTCCTCTAAACAGATTAAATTTATACTGATTAGAGGTAATTAGTTTAGCTCACGTAAGTTAATCTACTACTTACAGTCCAATATCAATTTCTGAATAATTCAATATTGTTTTATATTCTTACTCGCGTAATATTTCAAACTGTTTCAAGTCTTAAAATTAATTTTAGACTGAACAAATTCTAAATTTTAATTTTCTGTATTCTATCCCGAGAATGACGTTTCTGACAGTGTCAACTCCCGAGCTCATATTGTATCCATCTACTATAGGTATTTATCTTGTGACTTTAACCTAACTGTTTGGCAATTAAGGATTTTTTTCTTCTTTTAAAATGTCAGTGCGTTTTTTTTATATGCCGCTAACATCGTGCTGTGCTTAGAGATTCTTGAAATTAAGATTCTCAAACTATACTTGTACTGAAAATTATTCCGCCTTAAAATACGGCGACAATTTATCGATCGAATTTACTTGATCGAAACATGAACTTAACATGAAATTTGCTATAGAATTTAGGAATACATATATTAATTTCATAAATCCTCCATTCACAATATAACATAATATTTTCTAAGAAAATCCTTAGCTTAAAAATACATGAATTGTATTATTTAAGGTCTAAAATTTTCTCAGTCATTACAACTTGAGCTGCTATACCGAACCAAGTTCTGGGAGACTTGGTTGATATACTTGTCTTGTATCGTTGTCTTCTCCAATCCCCATTTAGCTGTCACTTTCTCATAATCAACACATAAGCCTGAGTTTTTAGCTTCAGCTTGATGTTGAGTTGCCATTCTTGTGGAAGTAGCGGCCAAACCCGGTTGGGAAATTCCCAACTGCTGAGGCCCAATTGCTGGCTTTTCTTTGTTTACTGAATTAACCGATATGCCGAAAGTTTGAGGTCGAAGAAAGGGCTTTGGTACCGACGTTGAGTCAGAATGAGACTGGTTTATGTCAACCTCCTTTCTTGAGATCCTGAAGCACAGAAAACTTGATCATGTAGTGATCTATTAATGACAAATGAGACTGAGATAAGACTGATTCGATCAACATAAACAAATAGTACTCTCCATATCGAGCATATTGCCTACCTGCTAGCCTTGAGAAGTTTTCTCTTTTCCTTCTCTTGGATCCTCTCTTCTCTACCAGACCTAGCAAGAGATCCTCTCAAATGCTTTTCTGTCAAAATTTTCTGCCTATCGCCTTCATCTACCCATCTCTAAAATTTACAAAAGAGTAAATTAATATCTAACACTCATGATCAAGCCTCAAGAAAGAGGAACAAAAATCCTTTGCCAAACAGACCTGTCTCAAAGTTTTCAGTCTGTAAAGATTCCGACCTTTGATTAAGAGGGGATGAAGTGGAGGGAGTGGTTTCTCCCCTTTGCTCCATAGCACTTCCACCTGGTGAAAATAACAGAGAAACTGCATTTTAACGACTGTAATAATGAATTGAGTTTACCACCCCCCACAAAAAAAGTAATTAAGTAAACTTAAAAATCACAGAAAACTCCATCATGCATTCAATTTATTACGCATCGGGTAGCAATAATGCTTTGAGCGTCACAACTGCACCTACGAATGTTAGTACAGGCATCATGTCATCAGTTCATCTAATTATTAATTTGACAGTTCATCAGGAGAAAGAAGTAAAAGAATGAAATCCATTTGCAGCACTTGTCAAATATAATCTTTTATGACCAACTCACCGTAAATGTATGTTGCTGCTTGGCCGCACCATAGCTTTCTTTCACAATACGGCCTGCAACAATCCTTGTGCCACAAGGACCGCCGTTAGCACTCCGTGATGCAATATTGAACCTGCAAGGAATAGTCCCGGACAATTATGATGCAGCAATGTACATTAGTGGCCTGGCATAGACGTAGTGTGTGCCTCAAAACTTATCAGCTAGACTACTTCAATCGCATTCCTAATAATATTTTACACTTGTAAAAGAAGAACACTGCACTCTGCTTATCTACTTGTCAGACAAATAAAACAAGGAATCACAATTTTTCAATGTACAACAGGACAAAAAGAGAGAGAAAAGAGAGAGAGAGAGAGAGAGAGAGAGAGAGAAGAAATTACATGTCGTAAACATTTTGCTCGAACAGAACTACATCGCCAGTGCAAGCATCACCTGCATTAAAACAGACACCTTTCTTGGTGTGCCTCGGAAAAATGAGAAACTATTACAGATAATATCATGTGCATCTTTACCTTTACAATTCAATTCAAAGCTAGATACAGGGTACATCTTCTCCCCTCCGCCATTCAAAATCCTGAAGAACATGAACAATAAACAACAACATTAAGAGCTGAAACCAATGTTTATCAACGTCATAGCCAACACGTCAGTTAATAAAATTACTCAAGATGCTCCTTAATCCGCTGAATGAGTGTGCCTTTGTTGCCTGTCAGTCTCAATCCATTCTTTCTCAGGTAAACCTTACATTGGTCCACTTTCAACTTCTCAATCTGGCCAGCTGCCGTAAAGATAAAATTAAAACAAAAAAAAAAAAAAAACAAAACAAAACAAAACAAAACAAACAAAAGTTTACACTAAGCGTGCCATTTATAAGATTAGTTTCACAAACACCCCCTGAAATATATTCCTTAGCTCAACATGCCACCTGAATTTTGAAAAGATCCATTTCACCTCCTAGACCATATAAAATCATTCAAAACGCCCCGAATTGACGCAAGTTGACACAAAATTCTATAATTTGGGGAAAATTACTTAAAATCAATAGTTCATAGTGCATTTATGAAATTGTAATTAGTGTCACATCAACAAAGAGGAAGGAACAGTAACAAGAGCTAAGTGAGTTGTGAATGCGATTCATTCGGAGAAGCCCAAAAATTAAATCTTTCCAGGGCTAATAGAAGAATGGAAAAGAAAAGGGAAAAACTTTCATAAGCCAACCTCTGATTATCCGTTGGACTTGCTCAAAACTTTTCTCGTCTATTTCATCAAGTTCCGGCAAAACAAGATCTCTCCCATCCGATTCCGCCTCGTCGGCGAGATCAATAGCTTCGACAATGCTGCAAATTAAAAAAATACCCATTTCAACTTAACCACTGTAGAACATAAGATGATTAACCTCAAAATCAAAATTACAAAAAACAGACACCAACCTGGCCTTCGCTTTCTTGTTCTTAATCGAGAGCTTTGAAAGCTTGGAATGGGTTTCTTCGAGAATGCTGTAAATCGGGTCATTGCCTGAATCGTCGGAACTGTATTCGGAGCCGGATTCGGCAGTTCCGTACAAATCTTCCTCTTCCTTTCCGATTTCCATTGATGGGTTTTCACTCTAGTATCTGTTTGCTCCAACAAGACCACTTGAGTTTTGCAGTGGAATACAATCAGCCAGTAATTAATATGATAATATCAAAGACAGTGTTTTTCTCTCTTTAAACCATTTCAAAAATGGCTGTTCGGCTAGGGTATTTTTGAGTGAAAAACTCAAAAAATGTAACTCAAGTTATAATTTTGTAATTTTATTTGAATTTATTTGAATTTGAGTTTAAATTTGAGTTTATGATTAAAATTTGAGTTTAAATTTTTTCTTTAATTCGAATTCAGAAACTCAAACTCAAATTAATGAACAGTATTTTTTTATTCTAAAAAATGTTATAATTTTTTCGTTTTAATTCTGATTGAGATGATTTTTTTCTATGCGTTGACAACGAAAAGACGAATAAAACCTCACCCATATACCCTATTAAAATTTTTCATCAGTATTGAGTTTTTATTAAAATACTATCTAAATACAAATTCAAGTTTTGACTTACTCAAACACAAACTCAAAAAGATTTTATCTCAAACCATAACTCAAATGTACACAACCAAACATAAACTCAAATTATAACTTCAACTCAAGTTATAACTCAAACTCAACTTAAAATTTACATTCAAATTACCTAACTCAAAAACATCAAAAGAACAAGCATAATCGTTGATCGTTGCTCAAACCCCGACGATAATGGACCAATTCTAGACCAAATTTAGGGATGCCTAAAACGTACGGATATTATACCCTTTAAATTTGTACGATTTTAGCAACTTATCTTAAATTTTTAATTTTAATAAATGCCTCTCAACTTATAAAATTATTATAATATATTTTATTTTAATGATAATTATATTAAATTAGTATTGAAAAAATACGTTTATGAAAAAAAAAGTTTAAACATCACAATTTAAATATAACACAAATCTTTCAATTCTTTAATTTTTAATATCTTAAATTTAATAAATTAAAAGTTTAGAAGCAATTTGCTAAACCAGGATAATGCTAAAAAGTCAAAATGTAGATTTGGTTCTTTATATAAGTAATATGAATTCATGCCTTAAAAGTTTATTCATATTGTGCGGGGAAAAAAATATTACATTAATTTCAAACCCTAAAGATATGTTTTTTAGTTTAAGATCTCTTAAACTTTAAAAAAAAAATGTTTAAATTATCTGATCAAAATAGCTTTGAACTAAAATAATTTCAAAAATGTCGTCTTTAATTAAAAAACGTTCATATCACCCTTAAAAAGTTTTTTTTTTTTTTTTTTTATTAACGAAGTTTTAGAGGGGAAAAATGAAGAAATTGCATTTGGAGACGCATGGTTATTGGTTATTCAACGTCATAGCCAATACTTGCTCTAGGTGCTCCTTAATGCTCTGAATGAAACAAAAAAACTTTTACAAAAACCAAACAGACCAAGTAAAACATAAAACTTGTGTACATATCTTTTCAAGTCGTTATTCCTTTGTTGCGTAACAGAAGTCTCTTCTGTTTCTCTTCGAGTTGCAGTTACAGGACCTGACTTAACATTTCTTCTAACCCAAAAGGCATAATCCCACATGTAATTTTTATTTCTTTTAAAATGCTGCTTTTAATTTTCTTTGACTTAAAATTAGAACCAGATAATGTTTGTATAAAGCGCTGGTCCTTTGAAAGTTTACTGTATGAATATAGCTCATCTGGTTATGCTCTACTAGTTCCTTTCTTCATGGGGACTAAGAAATGCTTATTGTATGAAGAGGAAATAATTTTCGTGTGAAGAGAGAATTAAGGAAACTGGCATGTAAGATTTTGCCTACACGGTCCAGACACCAAGAAGTTCCATACATAAAAGCTACTTCACTTTTTTTTCTTTTTTCACTTGAATTACTACACATTTTCCCTCCAAATTCAATGTCATTTCTCTTCTCAGCTCTTTATATCCTGGACCGGGGTCATTTTGTTTACTTGTTTTACTTTCTCAGCCTCAGAATTGTTTTTAGTGTCTGAATCACCACAAATTTTCATCTGTTACTTCTTCATTAATCTCATTTCATCAATGGCGGCTTCCTCTATAGTCTCTCCTCTACACACATTGCTCGTAGATTCTTTTACGTCCGCGCGTTATGAGAAAGACCACCAAATAATGTCCTCTTTATTCCAGTCTTCGAAGAGACCGAGTCATTGGACGCGAGCAAAGAAGCTCATTCCAAAACACAGCAAACTCCAAGGAGTGTGTGGAACTTTAACCATTTTTGGTGATAATGCATTATCACCTTTTGGTTCAAAGACTGCTACAAGGCCTAATAGGCTCATGAATTGTGATGCTAATTGTGGTATTTTCCTCTCCAATATCCATGCCATCATATATGTAAATATGTGCTTATTATTGGTAGAGTTGTCACTATTAGTCTGCCTAATTTAAAGCATAAGGTTTGGTTCTCTATCATATTTTAGGCAAAAATGCGGATGCTTCCGTGGGGTCTACAGAGGAAGAAGGAAAGAACTCTCAAACAAAGCAAAGGAAGGTCGTTGTGACAGGTTTGGGTGTGGTGAGCCCGATCGGCCATGGTCCGGATGTCTTCTACAACAATCTTCTTGAAGGTATCAGCGGTATAAGCGCGATAGAGGCTTTTGATTGTTCTCAATTTCCCACGGTATAATATCTCTTTTGGTGCTTAGTCTTTTGGTGACAACTTATTCATGAATTATGAGAATTCACTCTTGGCTTGCTTCCTAACAGAGGATCGGTGGAGAAATCAAGTCTTTCTCGGCGGATGGACTGGTCTCGCCAAAGGTTTCTAAGAGAGCAGACAAATTCATGCTTTACTTGCTCAGAGCAGGGAAGAAGGCATTGATAGATGGTGGGATTACAGAAGAAGTAATGGGGGAACTAGACAAGAAGAGATGTGGTGTCTTAATTGGCTCGGCACTGGGAGGCATGTCAGTTAAGTCTAGAGCCTAATCCAATTACTTTTACTTCCAAATTATGGATTTATAATTTTCTTCTACTTTATTTTAACCTATAGTATAATTTCATGATCAGGTGGCTACTGAAGCAATAGAAGCACTTAGAGTTTCTTACAAGAAGATGCATCCCTTTGGTATACCTTTCGCAACGTCCAATATGGGTTCAGCCATACTAGCAATTGACTTGGTAACTAGTCAGAAGCAAGTGTTTCTTCTAAAAATGATGCAGTGTCTTCTACCGTGACATACGAGTTGTCCTTCTTTTACTATAAAGTGTAAAAAAATGTGACTGTCAATTAACTTTAAAATATTGGATCTACTAATGGAAAGATAACAATTCGTTACCACTTAACTCGGTATTAAAAAAAAAAAGTTAAAAAGCCGTTAACGTCGGGATAATTTTATGCATTTAAGACCAACTTTGTGCCCACTAATAGAGTTGCTGAAATTTCAGGGATGGATGGGGCCAAACTACTCAATATCCACAGCTTGTGCAACAAGCAACTTTTGTATACTGAACGCAGCCTACCATATTCTCAGGGGTGACGCGGTAAGCTTGTACTTTAGCATATTACTATTGTCACTAATATTCTGATTCTTGTTAAATCCTCTAATCAAGTTTGAAAGGGAAAAAAAAAATGCAGGATGTAATGCTTTGTGGTGGATCTGATGCGGGGATTATACCCATAGGTATGAAGACCAGTCATTTTCATTGTTGATGTGATTCAATCTTGTAACTTTGTTACATAATTCTCAAGTTTGAACGTTTAAATTGCAGCCTTGGGAGGTTTTATGTCATGCAGAGTACTTTCACAAAGGAATGAGGAACCAACTAAAGCTTCACGCCCTTGGGATATCGTATTACATTCTAATATCTTCTTATTCCACGCCTACTTTATATTTCCAAAGCAAATTTTTAGCACTAAGGACCTTTAATTGGGAACTTTACTTGGACTAATGCTGCTCAAATTGGCAGCAAGCTTAATATATATGTATATATATACTTTAGGCCAAAAATAAGACATATGTATGTGGTTTTGTTATGGCTTGTCACCAAATTTTCATTCGCAGAATCGCGACGGATTTGTTGTGGGAGAAGGAGCTGGAGTTCTGCTCTTGGAAGAGCTAGAGCATGCTAAGGTTTAAGTAATTAGTAAATCAATGTCTCGTATTTAATTTCAGTGATATCTTAAACTCTTCTTCCAATCTTGATCTTTATATCACAGAAGAGAGGCGCCAAGATCTATGCAGAGTTTCTAGGGGGAAGCTTCACTTGTAATACTGATATCTACACCGAGCCTCATTCTGATGGTAAACAAGTATAACCAACCGCAACACATAATATAAGCTCTTTTATTACATGGTTTTGTGTTTTATGACATTTAAAAATAAAAATAAAAAATTTTGTCTCTAAACCAGGGACGGGCATTGCTCTTTGCATAGAAAAGGCCTTGGCTCTATCTGGGGTAGCTCGAGAAGACGTAAACTATATAAACGCACACGCTGCTTCAACACCAATTGCTGATCTAAAAGAGTACCAAGCTATAACCCGTTGTTTCGGCAATAATCCGAATGTGAGGCGGAAATTGTTAATGCGTGTTTCTTTAGTCATAAAACAGTTAGATTTTCACTTTGTGGTGATTGATATTTTTGGATGTTTTTAGCTAAGAGTGAACTCTACAAAATCCATGATTGGTCATCTTCTTGGAGCCTCAGGAGCTGTAGAAGCCGTTGCAACGGTCAAGGTACTTGAGTTTCATCTTTTAGTTTATGACTAGAGTTTGGTCCACTTTTGCCATTTTTTGAGTTTTTTTTTTTTTTTTCTTTCTACGGTCTCGTTCATTTCATTGATTCGAATTTTCAGTTATAAGTTTTTACAATTAAAATCTTAAAGAAAATATCACATTTCAATTCGAATTGAAAACTCGAATCACATTTCAGTTCGAATTAAAAACTCGAATCCACGAATCGAACGAGGCCGTAGGCAATACAAGCGAATGAGGCCATAGGCAAATACATATGTCATGTTTGTGTCTTTATTGGATTTTTGTTCTCAAAATATAATAGGCAATACAAACTGGGTGGGTGCATCCAAACATCAATCTTGAGAATCCTGATGAAGGCATGGTAAGGTTCCCATATCTAATACATACATACATAGATACATATACACGTATGTACGTACATACGTATGTAGATGTGATCGTGTATTCTATTCATCTGATCAGGACATGAATGTTCTTGTGGGCACCAAGAAGGAGCGTTTGGACATAAAGATAGCATTGTCTAACACATTTGCATTTGGCGGACAGAACTCCTCCATTGTCTTTGCACCTTACAAGTGAACCTGTTTCGCACAAAATTCCTACCCACATTGTAAATGATCTAGTGGTGATATTGTAAAATGAGAAGCCTACACAATTTTTATTCATGCGAATATATAAGAAAGAAAACGAAAAGTTGCGAAATGTTTAATAGAAATTAGTCGGGATTTCTTATTTTAAAAGAAACTAGTAGAAAATTCAGAATTCATAGTTGGGAAAACACCTTGCTTGTAGAAAACGACATGTCGTTTTCTACAGCAAAAGTGTGGACTGGTGTCGTTTCTATTGGAAAGGTGACATGCCGATGTTTGTTTGTAGCTTATATACGACATGTCGGTTCATGTAGAAGTTCCCTAATAGAAACAACGAGCATTGTTCGAGATTTATCACGACCCGACTACAAAAAAGGGGGACTTCTTTTTTTTTTTTTGATAAATTGGTTGCATATTTGGCTTCTATTAATTTTTAATTCTCATAAATTTCATTGATCTAATATATTTTTTTAAAAGAATCATTTAGAGCCCGTTTGGTAAAGGAATTCGTTCCCTGATTCGAATCATGATTCGTAGTTCGTTATAGTATTTTTTCTCATAAAAAATACATGTAAATCAAAAATAGTTCTAATCACGTGGTTCTAATTCATGAACCAAACAGACTATTAATTCATGAATTCATAATTATAATTTAAAATTATTTTTAATTTACATGTATTTTTTATAAAAAAAATATTATAATGAGAGTAACAATAATAATTATTTTTCATACCAAAAACAAAATAAATAATATAAAAAGAGTTAGAAACATGGATGTTTAGTAGAGGGATTTATTCCCTGATTCAAATTATAATTCATGATTTGTTACAGTATTTTCTCTCACAAAAAATTCACATAAATTAAGAAATGTATTAAAAAAAAGTGTAAAAAGGTGTCAGCGAAATGAACTGGCGTTGCACTATTGCAGAGAATTCATTGAAGAATCAAAAAGGCATTTCCTTTACCAGGAAAAAAAACCGGAACTTCTGGAATTCCATTTGGCTTTAGAACTACGTTACTTTCTCTCCACTACTACTTTCTCTTTCTTCCAAGTCTTAACCTTTCTCACTCATCACTTCTTATTCTTCTTCTTCTTTTCCCGTCAAATTCATCGGCTACCTCGCGCCTTCCAGTAAACATGGATGGCGGTTTCGATCGCGGTCGAGGTCGAGGAAGCCCACGAGGCGCTCCGAACCGCTCAGGTGGACGACAATTTATGGGCTCCGGCGCTCAATCTCACCGTCGTCATGATCCCGTAAATTTTTATTTGCTTATTTATTTATTTATTTATTTATCCAATTTGTTTTCTTTTGTTTGTTTTAGTATTTCTAGTATAATATAAAATAATGGGTTTTGTTCATTTCTTCTTATCGTGTGGAAAAATTAGGATCTAGCTATGGTAGTTTAGTTTAGATTGTTTGCGTGGAGCACAGAAGATGAAATTTTTGTCCTTTTCTTCTTGTTGTGAATTGTTCAAGTAATTTTTTGACAAAGGATTTGAAACGAGACATTCCCTTCATAAGCATTTTAAACCTATTATGTTTCAATTGCTCACTAATTAGAACCCAAACTCAGAAACCCAACTGGAATATCACCTTTTCAATTGTTTAATAGCAATTTAAATTTGTGTGTGTTGATGATTGATGCAGCAACAAAGAGTGTATTCACGTGTAAGGAGAGAGAAATTTCAAGCTGTGTATGTTGCAAAAACTCAGGAAGGTCAAAATTCATCAGAGGCAGTGAATGGCGTCTCAGAAGTTAATTCTGTGATTGCTTCTGATTTGCCCCACAATGGGAATAGTCCTCCATTGACTTCTCCTCTTGGGCCTTCTTTATCTACGGGTGAAGAAAAAACCCAGATTGAAATAAGCCAACAAGTTGAGAATTGTTTGCCTCCGAAACATGGTGATGAGGATGTGCCTTTGTCGATTAAGAGTCTGAAAACTCCAGCAAGTGACCGAAAGTTTGAGAATTCTGAGAGCTCAGAAGTTTTTGAACCTTTTGATATATGCCTGCCCAAAACAAGCGCTGTCAAGTTAAAACCTTCTCTGCTTGCTACGAATCGAGAAAGACGGAACGAAACAAAACGCACCACAGAAGGTCTAAATGGGAGGATTTTAAGACCTGGCATGGTTCTTCTCAAGAGTTACATTTCTATAAGTACTCAGGTACTGCTTTATGCTCTCTCACACACCACACACACACGGAAATGAGGAACAAAGTTAAGTTTGGTGCTGAAATGGTACTGAATGTTTATATTAATCTGTTATTTTTCTATCTGTGTCCATATTAGTGTCGGTGTTTGAATGTGTAAAGAATAAACCTTTGGATTTAGTGCGGTCTTTTTGTGGTTATTTACATCTGTTGTGTCCTTCAATGCTATCATAGACCAAAATAGTGAAGCGATGCCGTCACTTGGGATTAGGCCCTGGAGGTTTCTACCAACCCGGCTACCGTGATGGAGCAAAACTGCATTTAAATATGATGTGCCTTGGTAAAAATTGGGACCCCCAAACAAGCAAATATGGTGATTACCGGCCAACTGATGGTGCTAAACCACCCCCTATTCCTAAGGAGTTCTATGAGTTGGTTATGAAAGCAATCGAGGATTCCCATGTCCTTATAAGGAAAGAATCTGAAGCTGGTAATGCAGAACAAATACTTCCCCGGATGACACCAGACATTTGTTTAGTAAACTTTTATTCAACAAATGGTCGACTAGGCCTTCATCAGGTGTGTACTGAGACTTTCCTACTCATTTGTAAACATGTTAAATAGTTGCTATACATTTCCTGAATGCGAATCTTTTCAGTAACAGCATTGACCAGATATCTTTGTATCAACTCTTAAACATACTACGAGGCTTCTTAACTTTAACGTGAGAAAAAGAAACTGGGAACGGGTTTTTATGAAGAGGGTTGAACTTGCAAAACTTGTGTCAGCTATTTGCATGAATGTTCATATAATTTTGATGCATCTGACAACATTGCCTCCTGTGCAGGATCGTGATGAAAGTCATGAAAGTATAAGAAAAGGATTACCTGTTGTCTCCTTTTCCATTGGAGATGCTGCAGATTTTAAGTACGGTGATCAAAGGGACGTCGACACGGCAAAGGAGGTTATGCTGGAATCAGGAGATGTATTGATATTCGGCGGGGACGCTAGATATGTTTTTCACGGTGTTACTACTATCCACACAAACACCGCCCCTAAAACCCTACTGGAGCAAACAGATCTCCGCCCTGGCCGGGTGAACCTTACTTTTAGACAGTATTGAAAATCCACGTCTTGTTATTACTTTTTCTAGCAGTGCTTGAAAACAGGTTGTTGATGGAAAGGGTTCAGTAGAACCGTTTTTTGTACTTTTTGTACACGTCTAGTTTTACTTCATCTCCAGTTATGTAATTGACAGTTTATGTTCATATTAAGGTGGGCTTGTTTATAGTCTTAGCTCTCTCTCTCTAAAGAAGGTAATTTTAAGACGGATCATCCTGGGTTTTTTTTTTTTTTTTTTGATAAGGATTATGAGTATTACAGCTCTTTGGTTGTTACTTGTTAGAAAGTATAAGCAAGCAAGATGATTTCTTTTGATTCTTTTGGTTCCTATATTTTCATTCAATATTGCTTGATTTTAGATTCTACAGTGGTCGGCTAAAACTGTTTCACTATTTCAACGTCAGCTCGTTAACATGTTTAAAATTATGTCTTGCTTATTCCATAGAGAAACCTAACACAGGGTAAATAAGCAAAAACTATACTAATTTGATTTCCTTTCGAAGGAAACTTTGAACCCTGGTAGACAAACAATATTAGCCAGGACTTAAGAATCTGACACATGTTCACTTCTAGTTTATTTGACAATGCATATATGGATCCTTTAAGGGTCTCTTAGAGCAGTTGTTTTCAGATCTCCTACAATACCTTCAGGCTAATTTATGTTGACATTTGGTACAACCTCAATTTCCATGAAATTTCCATGGCTTTGTTCTGCTCTGCCCACTTCACAAGATTCTTCACTTCTTGGCAGCCAAACTTCAACAGTCACTTAAACAAGACTCTCGTTGGTTGGTTCAACAGGCCAATTGTTTTTCTTAAACAACAAGGAGAAAAGAAGACATACTTATTTTACAAGCAAGCCCATGAGTCCAACCATCCTCCCAAGTCCCACCAACAAAATGATTGGCAACTTGTATAGGCGAGATCCATGTAAAAAAGCTTATTAGCCAAACTTAAGCTGCATTAGTTTTGACCCATGTAAGTCCTGTTTGCTTTAATTCCCTTACAACTCACATCGTCATAAAATTATCTTAACTGGGTTTTTTAAAATTCAAAATTTTTTCCTACCCTTTCTTCGGTTGGTTGAACTCTCTGTGCTATTTATTGCAGAACCAAACTAAACCAACATAAAGGGTGACAGGAATAAGGGTGAGCCAAGCTGGAGAAGCAGGGCACACGCTAGATATATCAGCTTTAAAAGCCTGAGAATTTTGCATGTGCCCTAGCCCTCCAGCTTGGATCCTTTGCCTATGCAAGGACAACTAAAAAAGAGGTTTTTTTACTAAATAGTTCATATGTTCTCTGGTGCTTATATAGAATAATGTTTCAAGGTATTGCAAAGTTCCACTCTCACAATATTATTAGAAGTGCTACATTTTTACACGTTGTATCTTTTTCCATATGTGTTATTACATTGCTGCGGGGAACAGACAAGGAACGCAGTATAAAATCTGTGTTATTACATTGCTGCGGGGAACAGACAAGGAACGCAGTATAAAATCTGTGTTATTACATTGCTGCGGGGAACAGACAAGGAACGCAGTATAAAATCTGTGTTATTACATTGCTGCGGGGAACAGACAAGGAACGCAGTATAAAATCTCAGCAGTTACATTGATATGGACCTTACATCAACTTTATTGTTATTATACACGCGATCATTACACAAATAAGTTATACTTGTTGAACGTATTAGATAAGTATGTCAAGCTCAAATCAGGCTTTATAAGTAATTAGAATCGCCTTAAGTGGGATAATTTATTCATAAATATCAGAAGAAAAAGAAAAGTTCCAAAAAACCATTCCATGCAGCTCAGTCAACCGCGATCAAGATCTGTTCTCAAGGGCGGATGCAGCAGACTCCACATGAACAAGCAAACAAGAATATACTTTTTGCTTCAACCGATCAATAGTCTCTGATAACTCATCATTCTCGAAGCTTGAGTTGCTTTTAAGTTTTTCCAACCACTCATTTGCATTCTTAAGCTGTGATAATGTGATGGCAATGTGGTTGTCAGGCTCAGTTCGCCGTCCTGTGCTGTTCTTACCTTTCTTCTCCTGGCCATTCAGGCGAAAGCCAACATCCAAAGCTGCTTCCAAGAACTTTAGAAACCATGATCTTGTTTCATTCAAGAGAAGTTCTCTCAGTTCTTTGATCTCTTTTGCACCATCCCCTTTAGCCCATTCTAGTTTCTCTCCTCCACTTAACTCCACATGCGTCTTTCCCAACCTCGGTATAATTTTACTATGATCTGAACCTGTCTTCTTGATGGGTTTTTCAACATTTGGAGGAGAAGAGATTGTAGTTAAAGGAAGTGATTTATTCTTCAAGGGACTGGTCTCGTTTGGTTGATCAATGATCTGGTCAAGTTTGAAGAATGTAGTAAAAGAGAGGTGGGGATTCTCCGGTGAAGCAGATGAGCAAAGATCAGCAAACATACTGAAAAAGTCATCAAAGAAGAGCATTGAAGAAAAGCTAGAAGGGTAAAATGAATCTAATACTAACGCAATTCTAACTCATAAATAGTTACACTATTTTTTAGAAACATAATACATTCTTTTGTCAGGCTATGTAGTACCTGAGACACTTGACAAGATTTGCAGCTCTGGAAGCCTCTTTCTGAGCTTCTGTTGCAACCGAAGAAGCTAAGTTCCTCCTTCTAAGCATTCCCTTGTAAGAGTATAACAAAAGATGAGAAAAAGAATCATAATGCAACGTTATCAATACTGCAAGAATTTGTGAGATCCTTACTTTTCAAGATGTGCCTAACATCATCTTAATTCAATAGAGCACTCTTCACTTTTTGCAGCAATGATAGACGAGATTATTTAAATTGCTAGTGAATAAATGCATTGACAAATTGATCAAGATATAGGTATAATACGGCTTAAAGAAGTTTGGTTCAGAACTCAGCATCAAGAGATTAATGAAACAGTAGACACTAGGAAAAGTACCTTTCCGGGCTTTAGAAGGTTAGGAGGCAAAGAAGACCAGAGAAGTGCCTCCGGCAAACTATTTCTTTCTTTGTTGTTTGATGATAAGTTCAAGTTCAAATTTTCCTGCTTGCTTGACATACGTTTTGCAGGAGTGCTCTTAGAAGGCAAAACAGTATCCTTGGTGCTAGATACTGAGAACTCTGGCCTTGATGAGAGTGCGTGATCAGGTCGATTCCTGGAAGGAGTCACTGGGCGTGCCTGGATTAATACTAGCAGAAATGACCATATCACAAAACTTTTTTAACTAAATCATTGTTTTTATTAGGTTCTCTGAAAGAACAAAGTTGTAGTTATTTGGTTATTTGAATGTGAAGCATTTATACATTGTCGTACTGTAAAATGGAATATTTTGCTAGCAAGAAATGTACCTGACCATTAAGCTCATGTTGCTTTCCTTTCATGAAGCCAGTCCTTTTAACACCATTCTCATTGTCATTGCTCTTCCCAACTGATCCATTACTGTCTTGCCCACTTGCTTTTGAATTGGATGTGGTAACACCTTGCATGTACCTAGATGCAACAACCGACTTTTCCTCTTTGATGACAATCTTTTGTCTGCTGTTTTCCTCTTTCACTTCCATTAACTCCTTCGTTTTTGAACCATTGTTTCCTTCATGATGATCAGCCTGAACTGGGCTCTCTGATGGCTCCAATATCTGCATCAAATCCTTGGGGTTCCCCACAAAAGCGTGTCGCCCCAGGACCGGTCTGACCCCAACAAGAATAGGAACTGGCCTTCCTGCCTCCACCCTATCAACGTAGAAGAATTGGCCAAGCTGCAACTTATTGTTCAATATAAGCTCATTGTCTTCCTTTGAAAGGGAGAGGTAGGTTGAGTGAGAGGAATCAGAGACTTTAAGGAAGAAACCATGGTCAGGCCACAGTTCTGAGCCAGTTATGGCGGGCACAATGCTGATCACTTGCAAAAGGACTGACCGGTAGTCTCCGCGAACCTTTACATTGGAGTTCATGCTCTGAAGGAGCTTTAGTAGTACTCCTGGTGTAAGGGATGCCATTTTTTAATCCTTCTTGTCTGATTACCCAAATCTGCAGAATAAGTTTTCCGGAATGTTTCATTAAAATCATGATTTTTTGTCTCTAGTACCATGTACTATAGACAGAATATGTTCCTCTTCCAAAGGACTGGGTGCTCTTTTTTTAGCAGAAATCTTACCACTAGTTTTAGGGGCATAGTTTTCCTAAAATCTTGATTAACCCAAATATCTTATGCAGTAATCAATTAATATGCACTTAAAGCAAAATTATTTGCCCCTTCAAAGTTGTTGTTCATCCTAGTCTTAAATCTCAAAAGAGAAAATGATAAGATGTTAAAGGCTAGCTTCAATAACAATTATAACAGCATTTGATGAAAATCTCACGTTAAGAAAAACCAAATGTGTTAACATTAAACAGAAAGATGAAAGATACCTGTGCAAGAGGGAGCATAAAGATCCGAAAGAAAATTCAAAGAAGCTCTTCTTAGTAAACAAAAAGAAATCTGAACGCATATAGAGATGAGGGACAAACTTTAGCTTCAAAACTTACTGTGCCTGAAAAAGGTTGTATGCCATTGGCTAAAGTAGAACAACACCTCTATAACTTGGCATGCCAGGCACGTAAACATCATCTTCTCTTTGCTTTAAAGCCAAGAGAAAACAATGCCCTCTAACAATCTTTTTTTGGCTCTTTTCGTGTGATTGGGAATAAAGAATATGGCTTACCTTTAAGAGTAATGTGATTGATCACCCTTCTTATATATATTCTAATTATAGATAAATTCGTTTGTGGGTCTTTTTCTAGTTGCCTTTTTCTTTTCAGTTAAGAGCAAGTGGAGCTATTGAGAAAGGTATGAGCATGGCGGATTAAATTATTCCATAAATACATTGACCAAAGTTCTGTCACGTGAAACATACACAAGAAATTCAGAAAAGTGTCGCATTCATGCCTTTCTCTTTTTCTATTGTTATCATTACGAGTAGTACCACCACTAGTATTTTGGTTAATAAGCCCATGACATTTTGGATAAACTTGAGGCATGTAAATGAAGAGTTTCTCTAGTCCTCTCGACAGGCACATTTTCATCAAGTTCTGTTAATTTTAATGTAATTTTGCAATTCAAAACTTTTTCTTACAAGTTTTTTTTTTTTTTCTCATACTCTACCATAGAATTCTCCTAAAAATAAAATGGCTCGTTTTCTTGAAGATTCACCTTAGATAAGACATCTAAGCCTCTCTCCAATTTTACGTCTGGCCCACATTCGTCATTAGCAACTAATCCCTAATATTTAGGCATATACTATACTATAAATAAAATGTTTGCCTACAAAGTGGAACAAATGATTATGAAGTTAAAGCAACATATTACCTTTCTCTATAAGCAAATTTCAAATATTCCCCACAAGAAAGTTCATTAGGGAGCCAGCTTTACAATATTAGATATAATGATGAATAGTACATGTTTGCAACATGAGTTGCTCAAGAAAATGCATTGGCTTCGGTTTCAGCACGAACCAATCTAGCATACACACCATTGAGATGGGAAGCCATAAGTGTGTCATGGCTTCCATACTCAGAAACCGTACCATTGCTCACGACTGCTATCGTATCAGCCTCTCTAATGGTGGAAAGCCGGTGGGCCACTACAATCGTCGTGGCTCGCTTGGAAACCATTTTGAGGGCCTCTTGAACATGCCTCTCTGATTCCAAGTCCAATGCACTGCTTGCTTCATCTAGGAGTAGTATTCTTGATTTCTTTAGTATGGCTCTTGCTATGGCAATCCTTTGCTTTTGACCGCCTGATAGCTGGACCCCACTCTCTCCAACCTAACAAAAAAAGGAAAAGAATTTGAGAAATGAACAATCCGACATGTCACATGATAAACGCATCATATAGCGAGAGCTATCATATCCTAATTAAACAATATGTAAATTTAACAATTTGAAAACATTTACTATCTGTAGATTTTTTATTTTATACATGACCTAGAACTCTCAAAGTATTAGAATGGATTAAGTGGCGCTGATCTAACATAATTTTTCATGTACCAAATATAAGCACCAACAATTTCCAAAATTTGGTGTATACCTTAGTTTCATAGCCTTGAGGGAGGCCACTGATGAACTTGTGAATGTAGGCTTCCCTTGCAGCATCTTCAATCTCAGCCCATGAAGAAGTTGGATTCCCAATTGCAATATTCTCTCTAATACTCCCAGAGAATAAAGCAGGCTCTTGACCCACTAAAGCTGTTTGCCTCCTCAACCATTTCACATCAATCTCCCTCAAATCCACACCCCCAATCATCACCTTCCCTTGGTTTGGATCATAAAACCTCTGTATCAACCATATCACCGTTGACTTTCCTGACCCACTTCCTCCAACCAATGCCACCATACTACCTCCTTTGACCTTTAAACAGAAGTCCCTCAACACAATCACCTCAGGCCTAGATGGATATGCAAATGTGACTTTTTTCAGCTCAATGTCCCATGCTTTCGACCGTTCGATCTTCCTACCTTTTTCTTGATCGTTGCCGATCAATGGCTTGCGGTTTATGACATCAAAAACAGCTGGGATTGCTGATGCAGCCATGGAAGTGTCTGGTGCAAGACCAGCCAATTGTCCCACAGAAAATGAGCTCAGAACAAGAATGAGGAAAATCTTGTACACATCACCAAAGCTTGCCTTGTTTTCCTTCATAAGATATGCACCAAACCATAGAGTTAAAGTATATGCTCCATACATGGCAGCTTGAGAGAACCCAAGTGTTAGTCCTAAAATCTGTGACCTTTTCACTGATTTTCTCTTCGGCTCGGATAAAGCTCGATCAAAGGACTTGACTAACTGTTCTTGAGCTGAAAATGTTGTGACTGTTCTTATGTTTGACACCGCCCCAGAAGCAATATTACTAGCTTTGGCATACGCATTGTTGTCAAGTCTTGGTCCAATATTGATGATCAAATTTAAGTAGCTTGCGCCGAGAGTAAAAGGAGTAACAGCAGCAGCCAAAAGGGTCAGTCTCCACTCAAGAAAGAAACACACTCCGAGTCCAACCATAGCTGAGCTCAATCCCATCAACAAGACCGAAAGCCGATCACCAAGGACTGATCGAAAGCTTACGCAATCAATGGACAGCCTAGACACAAGTACTCCAGTGGAGTTCTCTTCAAAGTCAAACCAACCAGGCTCTTGCTTCAATATAGATCGGAACAAGAGGTCTCTGACCCTCAAAGTGAGCTTTGTTCCGGCCCAACCGCACAAACCTTGTTGTCCAGTCATGGAGAGTATACACCCAATACCAAGCCCAACAAGCACCAAACAAAGCTTCCCAACTTCTTTCTTGATCTTGGAAGTGTCCTTAAAGTAAATTTCAAGGGCTAGGCCAAGAACTAAAGGGAAAGCTGATAGAATAGCACCTGCATGCATGCCCAAGATGAATCCCAACAAAAGTATTACAATCTCTGGTCTCTGTAACTTCCATATCTCCGAAAGCTTAAACTTTCTTACTTTTGGTTTTTCTTCTTCATCATTAGCTTGCTTTTCCTCCTGTGTTGACTTGAAGTACTTTGACCTTGATATGTCATTCGTGTAATACTTTGATCTTGACACATCATTTGCTGAATATCTCTCATAAGCAGACGAATGAACAGCCTCTAGAGCATCTTTTTCTGTTGAAGTTTTTGAGACTGCTTCAGAAGCAAGCTTGATGAGGTTATAGTAGGCTCCGTATTTCTCCATTAGCTGACGGTGGTTGCCGATCTCAACGATGGATCCACGCTCAAGAACAGCAATGGTGTCGGAGTTTCTCACGGTTGCTAGTCTATGAGCAATGACAATGGTTGTTCTACCAGAGGAAATCTTGTCAATGGCCTGTTGGACTACAGACTCCGACTCAGGATCTAGTGCGCTGGTAGGTTCGTCCAAGAGAAGGATTTTGGGGTCTTTGATCATGGCTCGAGCCAACGCTATTCGTTGCTTCTGACCACCCGAGAGTTGGGTTCCTCTATCTCCAAGCTGCCACAAATGTGCATTTTAAGTGGGAAAAAAACCAATATTTTCGAACAGATCCCATGTGTTTTTTTTTTTTAATTATGATATTTGCTAGAAGATTTAAGAGTTTGAGTTGTTGAACCTGTGTGTCAAAGCCTTGTGGAAGGCTAGAGATGAAGCTGTGAGCATTGGCAGCTACACAGGCCGCAATTGCGTCTTTCTTGGTGGCATTCTCCTTTCCCATCATCACATTTTCCAGTATGGTTGTGCCAAAGAGAACAGGCTCTTGCCCAACCATGCCTATCTGACCTCTTAGCCACTTTACTTGCAATGTTCTCAAGTCATGACCATCTAGGGTGATTGTACCTGCCATTACATTTGGACAAAGCACTTTAGTTCTCAAACGTATCATTCCATTCCACCACATAATTATTTCCTTGTCTTATATAAAAACAGTACAAGTCCAAAGAAGAAGATTAGTTTACCTTTGTTAGGGTCATAAAACCTCTCAATGAGAGCAAAAATGGTAGACTTGCCACCTCCACTAGAACCAACCAATGCAGTAGTCTTGGAAGAAGGGATCACCAGGTTGAGGGAATTCAGAACTTGAGCTTCAGGTCGTGACGGATACGAAAAGCTAACGCTTTTGAACTCAATCCTTCCTCGAACATTGGAGAGGGCTCTTCCCACTGGACTGTATGGATCTATCTCTGGAACTCTCTCTATAACTTCAAAAACCCGGCTTGCAGCCACAGTACCTTGCGCGAACTGCGCAAAGTATGAAAGTGACAATGCCAAGCCCCTACAAGTAGCAACAAGTTTGGAAAGTAAATTCAGTTGCAACAACAAGGATGGTTATTAAACTCCAAATACTGTACCTTTTAATCTATCGTAATTTCTTAGGATTCAAATGAAAAGTATTATTTACCTCCCCCCTACATTGACACCAAAGAAGCAAGCAATGGCAGCACCTCCAGAAATCTCTTTTCTAAAAACCAAGATTGCGCCGTACCAGAAAGCTAATGCCCATGTCGAATAAGTAACCAAATAGATAACTCCCATGCCTGCACCTTTAGCAAATCCTATCTTTGCTCCAAAAGGGACAGATTTGGCTAACAATTCAGCATATCTCGCAGCCAAATGATCCTCTGCCACAAATGAGAATACAGTTCTAATTGAACTGATAGCCTGTTCTGCTACACTTCCGGCTCTTCTGTATAAAACCTTGAAGAGAAAATAACAGAAACAGAAATTGGAATAATGATAAAATTTGGAGAAAATGATGATTGGGATATAATATGTTGTTTATGTTGTTCACTTTTCTTTTTAAAATTACCTCTTCTTTTGCCGTTAGGCCGACATAAACGGCCTTGTAAGCGATACCACAGAACATCATCAAGGGGATGACAGAGAAGACTACTAGAGACACTTTCCATGACCCTATAAACCCAACTATGTATCCACAGATGAATGTGAATACATTGTGAATAAAGAGTGCCATCTGCATTGAAAAACATCCCAAATTCATTAATGCTTTTGAAAACATGACTGGTATACTTTTGGCCTTAAGGTAGTAAGTGATTGGTATACTAAACGTAGGACTTCATTTGGAAATGATGAAAAGGGTACTGAACCTTCTCTCCCATAACTTCTTGGATTTGAGCAACGTCACTTGAGATTCCATGCATTATATCACCAGTACTGATTTGTGTATCGAAAAAGCCGACATCTTGTCGTAAAACTGCTCGTAAGTATTCTGTTCTTATTCTTTGAGCTGACCGTTCCCCAACCAATCTCCAACAGGTAATCTCTGCCAATTTAGTTATCAGAAAAGCACTTATATCATGTTATTTGAATGTAAGCAATGGTCTTCTTTCACATGTTCAAGCCTAAAAATAGTGAGAAAAGAAATCAATGAAAAGAACAAAATGAAAACTTCCTCTTACCCAGATATGCTCCGATCAACACTATCGCTGCTAGTGCAGACATAAGCAGGCATACCTGAAAACAAAAGGCGATAGTATATTAAGGAAACCAGTCTTATTCACAATAAATAGATATCCAAAAACACCTGAACAAATTCATGTCTCTATACTTTAACATTAAATAAAAATAAAAAATAGCGGTATCCTCGCGCTTGTTACCTTTCGGATCTATTATGACCATAGGTAGCACGGGAAGGGAATACAACTCAGGCTCTTGTTAATAATTTCATGAAATAAAACCATCAAACAGCTATACTGAGTTTGTTCAGTTTTCAACCAAAGAGTAGCAGTAGTTACATCCATTCAATTATATTTTAAAATAAAGGTCACAATTAAGCATGCTTTTAATTTTATAGTTCAAATAAAAAAAAAAAATTAAACCACCAAATTTCGAACCCGCAATCCAAAGCATTGCCTAGAAAGAGAGAAAGAGAGAGTGGGAAAGAAAAATGACATACCTGCTGTACATCTTTCATCAACTGGGTCTTATCAGAGCGGGAAAAATCAACCGCAATCTTATTGACAAACTTTCCAAAGAAATAAGAATACCAGGGAAGAGACCCTCCATTTACGAGGGCCCCTAAACACCCCAATACTATAAGAACCAAATCCCACTTCGTAGAATACTTAAACAAGCTGAACAAGCCAACTGACTTTGTTGCTTCTTCATCTTCATCACCATCATCATCTTCTTCTTCTTCTTCACCACTCTCAGAAGAGCGTTTTAGAGCGTCGATCCACATCATTATAGTACGGATCATCACCGCCATGATATTGACGACTACTTGAAGGCCATGCATCGTTGTATCGATGATGATCATGTCCATGCAGATTATAATGATGATGATGATGTTGATGATCTCCTTCATCTTCTGGTGTATCGTAATCTATTATACTAAGCTCGTCTTGGTTGGCCAAAGGCTCTTCTTTTTTGACCAACTTTTGTAGCCCATGACGAGCATGAAACTTACCATGAAAAGAACTATTCTTGTTATCTCTGCCAACAAAGCTCTGGAGCTCAATCCTTCCCTGGTTTGTGACTCCATAGCCTGAGAAGGACTGATCATGATAAGGATTGTTGGAGGTTCGCGACTGTCCGTTACTTGTGCGAGAAAGATAGTAGTCACTAGCCAAACGATTACTCTCGGAAGGAATGGCGGTTGTGATTGTCCATGGACTAAGGACTGCACCAAAGTTGCGGCTTTCTTGCCACCCGGTTGGCTCAAACTGCCACGACACCTCGCCTTGCCACGATACGTCGTTGTCGGAGGCAAAAGGCGTGGCAGCCGGTGTTTTCGGGTGGTGATTGTGCCTTCTCCAGGCCGGGCTGTACTGAGAGCTCAACTGTGTGAAAGAGGCTGAAGGGTAGTTTGAGCTGGCGGGTGTCGGGTGATGGCGGCTGGGACGGCGGTGTCGGTGGCTAGAAGCGGAAGAATGGTGGTGAAACTGATCAAAGGAGGAATCAGCCATTGAATGGAAATCAGGAGAAGAGGAAGGAATAGAAGGAAAAGATCTATAGGCTATAAAGGGGTTAAAGAGAAGAAAACAAAGTTCAACTTCGTTTGATCAGTTGTCCAAAAGCATGTTGGTTTTAAGTAAGTCTCAAAGAACTTTGCTGGATCCGCCATTTTTTAGTGTTATTAAGATGTATATATTATGGTACAGAAGTAGGCCTTGTGCTATATTGACTTTGGCAAGCTAAAGATTTTTGGTTTTACTGATGGAAGATTTGTAGCATTAATCTACTTAAATATATATTATGCAAAATTTCAAGTGTCTTTCTTCTTGTTCTCATATCATATACAGCAATTAAATTTAAGCATGCTGTTCTGATTACAACAGATGTACATGTTCAGAAGAAACCAAAACTATATTATATGTTGCTTTACCGGATTTTCTTTTTTATTTTATTTTATTCTATTTATATGTGTGTGTGTGTGTGTGTGCAGGCAATGAGGCCGGCTAATATATATTATGCATATAATAACTTGACTAGCGAATTCTTAGTTTGAATATCATATTTTCCCTTGAGAATGAATTTCTTAGTAGTGGTTTCTTACGTAGGATGTTTTTAGATCACAAACAACACTATCTGTCGTTATACTTGCATGTCTATCGAATCATAAACGCAAGCAATGTTACTCCATTTGTCATTAGATCATCGAATAAATCTCCGAGCTGAATCATACGCTGTACATAAAGCAAAATCATCATGTTTTTCAGAAAGACTTTCCAGTCAAAAATGCAAATTATTTCGACTGATAAAATAAAATTGATTTAGATTTTTTTTTTTTTTTTTTTTTTTTTGTGCTTTGAGATCAGAACACCAAGGTCAACCCAAATGAATGCTAAAATAAATAAAAATAATAAAATTCAATATTTGAGTGGATCCGGCAGCCATATGAAATTTTCCTCTCACTACTTGTACATATTTAATACTTGTAGCAATGAGTCTTTGAAATGGCAAAAATCAGAAAAGTACAATCAAATAATCACAAAAACTATACAACAATTATCTGAAATCCAAGGAATATTACAACGAAGAAACCAACATAATACCTGCTCAGATTACGAGTGCTCCGATCTGTATTACTCGTAAATGCAATACCATTAAGCCTTTATACAAATATATATATTCAATCTTTGCTTAAGCCACGTCTTTGCAGTATTCAAGTCTTTTTTAACTTTTAGATTATTTTCACTGATACCCCTAAACTTAAAGATTATTCTCAGTTTATTCCCTAAACTTTAAAAACTCTCATTTTACCCCTTAAATTTTAAATTGTTCTCACTTAACCCTTGTTCTTGTAATTTTTATTAAGATCAGATGAAAAAAAAAAAGAGTTAAATGTAGTCATATAATTTTTATCAATTTCTTTTCAACAAAAATCCAAACAAAAAGACCACATGATTGCGTTATTCTCTTTTTTCTATATGTTTTTCACAAAAATTGTAATACAAAGATTAAATCGAAACAATTTAAAATTCAAAAGGTAAAATGAAAATTATTGAGAGAGCAAACTAAAAATGACCTTGAAGTTCAGAGGGCATCAGTGGTAATAATCCTTTTAACTTTTACATGGAAACTAGTTTGGGGCCAAGTGGAAACGAAGCAAAATCTCTGCTATCGAAATAGCAATCATGCAATAGAAAGACAAAATGATGAGATAAAAGGGTAGTTCAAATTTTACAATCTGTTATTCCTGACAAGAACATCACTCATTCTTAAAGTGTCAACAATGCTAATTTTAAATAATAAGAGTCGGATATACACCACACAGGACTAGAGGGAAGAAGAAAAGAATGCCTCTGAACTACCAAAAATCACAATTACATTACGCCAATAAGCGACTCATTGTTGAGAAAAATATACACCATATTTCAACACCAACTATTAGATATGACTAACTAAATGGTAAGGAAGGCATCGTGAATCCAACAAGATATACATTAATCCCATCGAAGATCTTGTACCGATGGCCCGTGTCATGCCTACCTCATGCGTTTGATACATATATCATCCTTTACATCCGACGTTGAAGATGATCCCAAGCACTTGCTACTTTTTTATGGTAATTATCTGAGCTTTGAGTCACCTCCCTTGCTTCTGAATGAGGAGAGCGAAAAGAATGACCGTGGAGCTGAAACGTTTGATTGAGCTGAAAATTAGATCGAGCATTTACACATTTGCAACAATGTAAAAGCAGGACTAGTATCTGAGAATTCCTCTATCGTAGAGTTTTTTTTTTTTTTTTTTTTTGTAACTTCCAAAATAAAATGACACAAGGCAAATTACAGAGTTACCTTTTAATGAGCTTCCCGACATATGATCATCCCTTAGTCTAAAATTTACTGGAGGTGATGGGATAGAGCTTTGCAACGATTGAACTGTAATAAAAGATGGTCATTTAGTTAGTTGAGGAGCTGGTGAAATGAAATTATCAAAGTACTGGGAAAATATAGATTACCATGTTCATTAAACTCGCTTACGTTGAAGCTGTCATCAGATGGCCCCTGAAAGAATGCCATTCTCGATTTCCTTAAGTCTTCTGATGAGCGATTGGCAGTATCTCGCCCGTCTTCTGTATCATCGTCTCCTTCAGAAGTTGTAGCAGAGATCCAGTCAACCAAACTCTCCGTCCCACGATTCTTTCTTCCAAACTTTAATAAACGTTTAAATCCTTTAGTCATGTCCTTGCGGGACTGATTATGGGATGAATTAGAAGCAAGAACAGGCTTCTGTGCGCTTCCCCATTTCTTCCTCATTCTAGCTGCATCTGCCTCTGTTTGGGCAAGACCATGCGAATTCCAAGAAGCAGGGCTCCCGATTGGAGAGTCCACAGAAGCATCGATATCTGAGGTTTCATGTGGATAAGAAAACGGATGATGATTGCGAGAATTCCACAACACAGGGCTTTCTCCCAGTGAGTCTTGGAGAGCCTCTATGGCATGAAATGATGAAGGCATGGCTGCGGGTAATTCAGCAACAGAAGCGGGATCTACTTGAGAAAGGAATCTTCTGGAATCGCCATTGTCAGACCCAGAGTTACCAGATTTATCAGACTCGTTACTGGGCCTTGATTTTCCATTATCCATGTTAGCACAATCTTCAACTGCCATGGTTTCTAGTTCTTCCTCTTCTTCTTCCTCTTTACACATATCCACAAAATCATCTTCCTCAAAGCCCGATTCATCAAATTCTTCATTTTGCAAAGTCTCTAATGCCACAGAAGCTTTCAACTTGGCAATACTAGCTCCAGAACCCGGACCTATGCCATTACCCTTCCTGAGGAAAGACTTTGTCTCCATGCTTTTAGGGAACTTTTCATATAGACTATGATCGGTTTGTTCTGTATCATATTTCAGTGGTGCCAAAATAATGCCTTCGGATTTCAAAGTAGACAAATCCGTCAACTCAACAGGGTTAGCCGAGTTTTTCCTCAAGGAATGAGACCGTCGTGGCTTCTCTTCCTTGACGTTTGGTGTATCTTCATTGCTACTCTTGCTGCGGGCATAGCTTCGTACCTGTGAGCGCGATGCTGTTTTGCTGACTCCAGACATGGGCTTTGTGTTTTCTTTTCTGAAATCAGAGAAGTTTGGAACTGACTGTGTCAGAGGATTTTCTGATTGTGTTCTTCGCTTCCCTGAACTGGAGTTCAAGAGTTTGTATGATGACCTTGGAGCTGGCACCCCTGTGGTTCGAGGGGTGGATGAAGACAAATTTCTGTTGGGCAAAAGTTTCTTGTTTTGAGTCGGTCGGGCAGATCCATCTCCCGAAGATGCCTCACTAAGAAATCTATCCTGTCCATAGAACTTCTGTCCCGGAAATTCAGAAAGATCTTCATCCTCTTCGCTTGCAATTGAATCAATTGACTGTAATCCAGAGGAAAACTTCACATTGTTAGATTCAACTAGTAATTAGGGATTTATATATATCTCTTAACAATTCCAAAGACTAGAAGGAGAGAGGGAGTGGAAATTCTATTGGCCATCAGTTTTTTGGCTCAACTTTCCTCAAATGGAATTAGGAATACCTGCTGCCTCTTTATACTAGAACGCAAATTAAAAGATCTGAGTTTCTCTGCACGCCAATGAGCGTTAGATGCCGAATCCTGTCTGTCTGCTAACCCTGAAAACTTGGCCTTCAACTCAGCTCTACTTCGCTCGAGGCTTTCCTGCATTGCCTTTAACTTGGCTTCCTTCTCTGCCCTTTTAGAACCCCATTCTTCCCTTAGTTTAGAATCCCTTTTCTGCATGTATCTCTCATAAAATTTTCCCCTGGAATCATCTGAAAAACCAAGCTCCGAGAAATTCTGCCTCAGATCAGCAGAAGCCTGGTTACCTGCTATCTTTTTCGGCGGAGGAGTACTGAAGTCTGTCGTATTACTATACCCACTGAATGATTCAATCACCATGCTTTTTTCAGGTAATTGTGAAGGAACAATCTCCTCCGGTGCTGGTTTTTTGTACTGTGTACTTGCTCCTGATTCGATCTGCATGTCTGCCAGTTTATTTCTCCGAGCCGAACTAGACTGATCTCCCGGAACCCGAAGCTTATGCTCCGCAAAAAGCTTTTCAAGCTCATTTGCCTTCATCTTGAGCTCATCATTGAGCTCCTGGTTTCCCTTTGTTTGCCTTGTTCTCTGAACCTGCTCAACCGGCGGCTTTGACATTGTAGCTAAGCTCTCTTGATTTGCTGAAACCTTTTTAACATTAAAATCGAGCTTGCTATCTTGGTTTGCCACATTGCTTTCATCCCTCCTGACCTGTGAATTCTTAATCTGCTCCCGACTGGAAGAACCAGGTTTCTGGAATTTCATTTTCTGGAATCCGGAATCTTCTGCTCTTGCTTGTTGCTTACCTGATGATGCTAAGTCAACGTCACCCCCGACAAGTCCTTCCGTAAAGGACTTCCATTGAGGATGAGGAGGCAGCTGATCATCAACCCATTTGGGCTGAGCAGAGGAGGCTTCCTTCAGTTTAAATCCCCCACCAAATTCAAACTGCCCTGATGAAGATCGGGAATGACTCTGGAAAGTCCTAGAACGTGACTGACTTACTGGCTGATCAACCTGTTCATGATCCTCCACTTTATATGCAAATCCACCGTCTGATGAAACATCCCCAGCCTTGCTTGCAAAATTTCCGGTTTTCGTCACTTGAGATTTAGCTTCTGAACCTCTTGATTGCATTGCAGAACTTGCCTGATCTTTAAACCAACCCCTTCTGTCTTCGCTGTTCAAAGAGTTTTTCTCCTCTTGAGAAACCTTTTGATCATTTGGGCTAACCTGTTCTGCTGTTCTTGAAGTGGAAAACTTAAATTGGGTCTGTGAAGCAGCCTGCTCCTTCCAATTGTCCCGCAACTTTGATGCTGACTCCTCGTCTTTGCTAGAAGAAATCACAACTTGGGTCTTCCCCTCAGCTTGGTCTTTCAAGCTGTCACCAGCGACCCGTAGAGAACCACTCCTCGTCTCAGCTTTTGATGAAAAGTTTGAATCATTTAATCCCTTATGATCCTTACCCTCAGAGCCACCCCCTGTTACGTTATTAGACTTGGCATGAGAAACAGAGGAAACAGAAGAGGGCGTACACAAGGGGCTCTCTGTATCCTTCTCAGCGCTCAAATCAATGCTCATGTCGCTCACGCCGCTCCATCTTCGCAGAACAGCCTTCTCGACCCCGACAGCTGCCGATGACACGTCCGAGGAGAGCCTCCTGAGCTCCACAGACTTTCCAACAACGGGTTTGCCACCACTGCCCGCGCTAGATTGCTCCTTCTGCTTATTCTCGAAAAGGTTGATGCGGTCCTGGACACTCAGTCGCCTGGCGGGTGGACCCGCCAGAGTTGAAGAAGAACGGGACTCAGTCTGAGACTCCTCCTTCTTCTCCTTCTCTGATGCCTCGTTGGGGGACTCTTCCTCAGCATCGTTTTTTCCGTTCACGTTTCGAAGTGTAGGAAAGGAGGTGGGGATGAGGGAGTTGGGCTGCTGACAAGTGGAGAGTCTTGATTGTTCAGGCTGTTGCTCACGCTTGTTTTGGGGCCTGTGGTGGGGTCCAGAAGGGTCCTCTGTGGGGTCATCGATGGACATGTCAGATCCATAAGATGATCTCACAGCACCATCATCGACACTTGGCTTCCATTGGTTGATCAGGTCCGGTCTTCTTTGACAAAGTGATGTAAATTTGGCGCAAACTTCGCTGCACAAATAGTCAAAAACAAATAAATAAAATTAATAACAAAGATAACATCAAAGAAATGAACAACCAAATTTCTAGTTGAAAGCATTTCGGCCCTCTTTCGTTTTTAAAAATAAAATTTAAAAAAAAAAAAAAAGAAGTTGAAAAGTATTTTGGCGAGAACCACAGTGAAAGGGCCTGTTCAACTGCCGCACTGCAGTATTTTGATTTTTGACAGGTAATTGTTAACTTTTTTTCCTTTTTTTCCAATTTTAAACCAATTATTTCCTTTAAAAGACTTGGGTTTTCTCAACAATTTCTGGGGGACGCCATAACCCAAATGAAGGGATGACGTATTCTCAAATCAAGAATTTGTTAATACTCCCTCGGGCTCCACCTTAACGAGGATAAATCAAGCCCAACTTCGGAATAATATACGGCAAGATTAATAATTTATCAAATTTTTGCATTGATAAAATCACAAGCTATCAAGAAGGTAATACGTCAGTAGGCTGGCAACATGTCTCAATCTTAGTTTAGCCCAGTAGCTAATGTGTAGACGTTGTGGAGCCTGGGTTAAATCGCTGAGCTACTATAACATCAATCTAAAACAGATCAACGGTTCTCAATAAGAGATTAGTAGAAAGGGTTCCTAGCCATTTCTATTCAATTAGACCAACCATTCCTTCCCTAGTAGTAGTAGTAGTAGTAGTAGTAGTACCAAAAAATGGGAATCATACACAACCATGCAGGCTTACGTGGTACAGAACACATGCCATCAGCCACGTGCGAAGAAATGTAGATAATAGATATGCATATGAATGTGTAAAACTAAGGAAAACAGAGAGGAGAAATGCGGGTAGGGGCCTAAAATAAGATTTACGTGAAGTGGGATTCCACAGAGCTCTTACTTCAAGCGATGGGCGCCAAATCGGTCCGCGAAGACTTGGAGATCAGAGATGGTATCGGGATTGAAGCCAGCAGCAGATGCACGAGCATAAGCTGTGGTTAAGTCCTGCCTAACTGCAGTAAGCCGTACATCAATAGCTCTCAAAAGCTCCTTTCTGTGCGAATGATAAATTAGATTATTTTAGAGTGAAGAATATAAGTAAAGAATAGTCTAAGTTAAGAAAAAATATTACTTTGTCGCATCTGCTGCTGCTGTGATTCCAGCTCCGTTCCCCCCTGAGGTAAAGCATATAAAAATCTCGTTATTGTTCTAACAAAATCAAGCATCAATAATTTTAAATAAAAAAAAAATCCAAGTTCCAACTTAGAATGGGCACAATAGTCAAACCATTGTAAAGCTTCAAAGATTTTCAGAGAAACGAGACTAATGTACTAACATTTTCTTTATTAACAAGTCAGCAGGACCAGATGCCAAGTAAGATTAACATTTTCAATGCAGCGGACTCTGAAAATTAGAATAACATACTGTCTTAACAAAAATGAAATAAAATATCAAAATGTCTTTTCTTTGTTATCATTGTTCAGGACAAGTTTGCAAGGCCTTTTAAATATCTCAAAAAAAGTGTTTTACTGAGAACTTAAAAATTAGTAGCCATCATCCAATAAATATGCTAAGATAAGACTTTTGAATTGTTCTAATCAATAGAGCTGATTATGAGAATATTGAATGTCTGAGCAAAGAATTTAGCGACAGTACATTCTACAAAGATATTAGGAATAACATCTCTAGCAGATATCATCGAATAAAAAGTGTAAATAATTCTCATAGGTTTCATCGTTGGCAGTAATAGAGTATCTAATTTCAGTTTTCCAAGCAACCTATATAGCAAGAAAATGATTTATCAGACAGAAGCAGGCCGTAACTACACCCAACACCTGGTTAAATCTTTATGGGCCATCCAAACGCTTTAACATTAGTCTCCAAACAAACAGAAACCAACAATTCGTCAAGTTAACACAGAAAGTAGAAACTACCACTAAAGATTCCTAAAATAGAAAAGCCAAGACCAGCCACACCAGAATCACCATATTAATATAATTGGGAAGCAGCGAAGAGAAGCATGATCAAGAAATTTGAGAAAAATGCCTAATGTTATATGCTCATTCAACTTAAAATCCGACACTAATGTTACATCTCAAATGGAGTTTTTCTGCATAAAGTTGCCAAATTTCTACGCATATCATGTAATCAAGAATCCGATATTAACATCTCTCAACAACCTTAATAACCACCTCATAAGCCACCCAGCAACAAGTTTCAAACCAAACGACCAACATGGATGCCCCTGTTATTGATCCATGAGGACCACGACTGTGAAATGTAATTTTCCAACATCAGTTACATCCACTGCTTGCTAGCGTGACATGCTGGTTAAAAAAGAGACTCATGGACCGGGTCATGAACCCTAAATGTTGGACCTCTGTCCTTGTGCACCAATGCACGCACACCAAAAAGTTGTTGTGTTTGACCGCAAACTCACATTCCTCACAGGTCGGCAAAAATCCAATGAATCTACTTTGCTTCTTGTGACCACCCCAATCTTCAAGAAGGAAACAAATCCAAAGTTCCATAAAAAGCCACTTGTCACAAATTTCACCAGGGACCCATAAAAAGCCACTTGTCACAAATTTCACCAGGGACCTTACCAGCTCCAAACTCCTTTCACCAATTCCGAAACCCATCGCAATAGCCTTTCACTCCTCAGTCACGTCACCTGGTAGGAAACAAATCCAAAGTCCCATAAAAAGCCACTTGTCACAAATTTCACCAGGGATATTACCAGCTCCAAACTACTCACCAACTTTGAAACCCATCGCAATAGCATTTCACTCCTCAGTCACGTCACCTGGTAAGAAAAATACTAATGGCTAATAGACAAACTTGTGTCCACCAAAAAATCGTGCCCCTCCAATTCTTCAAAGAAGAAGAAAGTATGGCTTCCCCTTACCTTTCTCATGCGTTCAAGCATAAAGATATTTCATGACGATTACATTTGATGCTTACGAGCATCCCAAAAAATAAATAAATAAAAACCTTATCTGGCTTTGCCTCAAGTCCAATTATTGCTAAATATAAAGTCTCGTACTCCTTTATTTCTCTCATATATTCAGCAGGTCATCTCTGGAAAAGGCTACACTTATGCATTTTACAACATAAAAGTCATATTGAAATGTGTTTTTTTTCATACTAATCTAAAGTCAAGTGATGAAATCAACTAGTTAAATTTGAATGAAAGATACAAAACTTACCCAATGCTCCAGGCGGTTTTTCGCCCATTCCCTGATACAAATAAGTTTAGGTTCAGCCCTAAAAGAAAAGGCGCGAAAAACAAAACAACGCATATCCAGTTATTATAAAGTTCTGAACTTGACCAACTGACAACAATCACCTGAGAATATATTTTCCGAGCTGCTTCCAATTGAGACAATTCTGCATCAAATGTATTCACCAGTTCCAAGACCTCTGGTGTACTAACAAAGCGCACAAATCTGGAAAAGTAAGGGGCAAAACAAGTCATTAACAAAAATGGAAATCAGAAAAGTACCACATTAAAGGAAACAAATAATTGAAGTGAGGAATCGCGTTTAAATTTGAAATTCTTAAAACCTTTCAAGTGTTCCTTTTGTGAACCAAGTCTCGGCATTTTTAGACTTCTCACTTTCGAGTTTAATTGACTGAACAGCGAGCGCAACCTGCTCTTCCGCAACCTTTAAATGAGTCAGAAAGGGCTTAACTGATCCAGATGCAAGTTTCTCGGTGTATCCACCACTAGAGACCAACAATTCACATCTGCAAGAAAGGAAAAGATTATATGACAACGCCAATAAACGGCATCATCAGAATGACATAAGAGCTCAAAAGACCTAGGACATTGCTCTCACCGCGATCGCTTTGGTGACAACTGGAATACAGCATAATCAAGAAGCGTATCCGATTTCATTTTCTCGTTTCCCTTCACTTTTAACTGCAGTTCTATATCTTATATGCGCTCTTCATTACCCAATTGTAATTTCGGACGCCCCCAGATCCTTGCAATACTGATTAATCAAGCCAAATGCAGAGTCCGGACGTTAAGAAAAACGAGATTAAAAGGGCCTCAAAAATCATTTTATCTTTTTCGCAAGTTATACAAAACTACATAAATCACAACATACACACAAATTTGGGAACTCAAAGAGAAGAAGCGAAATGTTAAATATCCGGAACTAGTGACGAAAGCCACAGTAGAGTAATCCGCATTTCCAACAACGAAACTATTTGGTAAATGTTTAATCATAAATTTAAGAAATGTGGATGCCCAAGTAGCTGAAACCTACTAATTTAGGACCAAAATGCTCACCAACAATAAGCCACTAGATCTCAATCCTAAAACCCTTCTCAGTGAAAAAATGCACCGAAATTGAAGCACTTATCCCAAAATAGAAACTTATGATTAAGGTATATAAATCAGATATGTTCCAGATCTGATTCAAGATAATCAGAACCCAAATGCCAAATCAAAACCCAAAATAGACAAATGCACTTTAAACCCATAAAACCAAATTCATGTCAATCCATATCCGAACAAACCCAGATAGAGAACTGCAAATACCAAAGCGAACACGCATTTACATGCACGCAAGTAAGAAAGTTGCTTGCGTGCAAGAAATATTTAAAAAAAAAAAAAAACACCCAACAAATCACACCCAAATTGGAGACAAATGTGAAACCGATCCTCGAAATCAGCAACGTACCTGAGAGCTAAATCTCCGAGATCTTCGATTGCTTAATCGGATTATCCGATTCGCGTTTCAAATGTGTACCAGCATTTCGCTCTCACTTTCTCTCTCTATATATATCTCTTTCTCTCTCTTGTATATATATAAAAATATCCCTTTTTCTCCTTCTGGGTCTCTGCGATTAACCTTGCTCTTCCTATTGGGATTTTTTTTTTTTTTTTGCAAGTTAATTTCGAAATATTGCTCTATTAGGCCTTAAGAAACCAAGCAACAATGACAAGATAGTTTTTGCTTTAATCATTTCACAAATGTATGTTACTTTTCTTTTCTTTTTTATTTTCTCTTTTTCTTTGCTTTCTCTCTCTACACTCTCTGTCCCAAAAAAAATACAGTGAGGAGGGAAGAAGAGGAAAGAGAGTGTGCTTTTTTTGTGTGTTGTTGGGCTTCAGACAAATTTTGTCTGTAATTTGTTTTTGTAATTTCTTTAAACGATAATTGAAAGACAAACGACTCTTTAATGGCCTTGTTGATTTTACTAAAATGGGCTTCACTCTGTTGACGTCAAATTATCATATTGTCCATTTTATTTCTACGAGATAATTATGACATCCTCCGATTCAAGTTTTTTTCCCTTTTTAAATTGGGTTAAATACTAAATAGTAAAAAAATTTGGTACTTTATCCGACAATAAATTTTTGATTAAATAGTTCGAATATCATGGAGAAAGAGTAGATCAAAAATTTGTACATATGTGTAGTTCCACACATCTGTTTCTTAGTTTCTTAACGATAAATTACTCTTTTTTTTTTTAAAATGACAGTATTCGTTAAAAATATGATAATATGATAGGAAATATGTACTTTTATTCTTTTAAAGAAAAAAAGATTTCAAACTAACTGCAAGAGTCGAAAATTTTGGTTGTTTCTGCTAGAAACCTAAATATTTATGCTATATATGAAAATTAAGGTCTCATTTATTTTACCGATTCGAGTTTTATTATAGTAAAAAATTTTAAAAAACAGTCACATTTAACTTTTTAATTATAATAAAAAACTCTCACATAAAATTATATATCAACTTAAATTAAAAACTCGAATCAATAAATTATCGAGTCCTAAATTCTTAACTCTAACTTTGCGTTTAAAATTTCACTAGAATAAAAAGAAATACAATCGTCACTTTCTTCGGTGAGTAGGCCTACATAGTTGGCATTTTGAAATGTCTTCTAGAAAGGGCATGATCGTCCAAGGACTGAATTCACAGGCGACAGGTAGGACGTTATGATGGTCCACTATTCAATGAAATGGGGACATTATTGTAATTACACGCTTAACGAAAGATTTCGTGGTCAACTATTCACATATCCGCTCCTGTTGAGTAACCTATCAAGGCGGATTCTAAATTTAACGGTTCCTTCAAAATTAGTACAAGTTTGAAAGTGACGGTGAAATTTACTTTCCCATATCACCCTTTAAAGAAAACTCACTAAATAAATATATAATGGGTGTGTTCAGGTTTTAAAATAATTTTATTTTTAATAAAAAATAAAAATGAGATTATTTTGAGAATTATTTTGAGATCGATTTTGAAATTACATTTAGAGCCCGTTTGGTTGAAAGATTCGTTCTCTGATTCAGGGTGTGTTCAGGTTTTAAAATAATTTTATTTTTAATAAAAAATAAAAAAGAGATTATTTTGAGAATTATTCTGAGATCGATTTTGAAATTACATTTAGAGCCCGTTTGGTTGAAAGATTCGTTCTCTGATTCAAATTATGGTTCATGGTTCGCTACAGTATTTTTTCTCATAAAAAATACACGTAAATCGAAAATGATTCTACTCTCATGGTTCTAATCCATGAACCAAACGGGCTCTAGTTAATTTTTTAAGAGATTATTTTGAATATAATAAAAAAGTAAAATCGTGTTTATTAATTAATATATTATAATATTATTAATAAGTACTAAAAATTAAAAACAACTTTTAATTATTTTTTAATTTTTTCACAAAAATTATTCTCACTGTTTTTATTTTAATTTTTAAAATATTTATTAAATAAACGTCGTTTCGTTTTCATTTTTTACTTCTCAAAATACATAAAAACCCGTTTTAATTATACACTGACAATACCTTTCTTGTCGTGCTATATTATCACTGGGCAACATTTAAATTAATAAAAATTTAACTTTAAATTAATATTATCACACTGACAATACCTTCTTCCCCAACTTGCCTCCATACAAATTTAAATTAATAAAAACAACTTTTAACTATAATGAGACATTTTTTTCCCTATTCCACTCTTTTTTTGGCCTTTTTATTTCATCATATAAACCTTTAATATGCAATGTCTTTTTGTTTTTCCCCCAGTAAACAGAACTAACTAGCGATAATCGTAACTTATTATCACATCATGGCTCAGAAATAATGTTCACTGCTAAAAAATAAATTTACCAAAAAAAAAAAAAAAAAAAAAAAAAAAAAAAAAAAAAAAAAAACTACCACACTGCATATTACTTGATCCTAGATGATATGCATAAACGTCTTTTCTGGGGTTAGTATGTGTAAATGTCGTTATCACTACATATTGCTTTTACTTATTTCTTTCCCATAATAAACTTTTGTTTTTAAACATTTCCTACAAGAATATGGACTTTATTCATTCTTTAAGTTAATTTCTTACCTTTTTTTTTAACTATTCCATAAAAAAAAATTACTTTATTTTTTTTCCTTTTTATTAAAATACTGAATTGTTAGGTATGAGTCATAGCCTATTACCCTTTGGCAAAGAGCTACATTCGAACAAAACAATCTAATTGGGGGAGTTCAAAGTGAATGCATTTATCTAATGGAATTGTGTCAATATCTAAACAGATTTTAAACCATTCTATTTGTTTTGCTTTTCAGGTGGTCAAAGGTGTAAAGAGATAAACCTTGTTCTTTGATCGCTTGCTTCCCTTTTTGGATATTGTCATTTATTTCCAATCTTCTCAGCAATTTAAACATCTTTTTCATATATATATTTTTAATCTTTCACTATATACCTGCCTACATTGAGATCTTGACTTCATAGCCATTGGACTAATTCCCCTTTCCTTTTTTTGGAACTTTTTTTTAGATTTTTTTTTTGGAGCTATTTACTTTACACTGCAGTGTCTTTTTTTTTTTTAACGTGACTCATTCATTGTACTCTTGCTTCTGTTTTGTTTCTTTATTTACCAAACGAAGAAAAAAACAAAAAAAACACGTACCATTTTAGACAAAATGATCATGAGGAAGTTGGTATTTGGTTAACTTATTTGCTCTTTACTAATGTCAGATGCATGGTCTCTGCAACATATTTCCTAAAGTTGGGTTATTATAATGATATTGCAACAACTCGTTTGTTGGTGTTAATAGCTGCTATGTATATTCTCAAAACTTGACCAACCTGACCCCAGTAACCACAAAATTGGGCTCAATACTTTTTCTTTGATAAAAGAGATGGGCTCCATAGTTATTTTTGTAGATATAATGAAGACAAATAATATTCACACTATTAGAAAAGATGGTTCTATGGAAGTATGATACATTTATTTTTGTTTCTTTTAGGTTGTTGGCCGGTCAGTTTATAGCAAGTTTTCATCGATCAATGTCTGAAAACCGACCGGAATCAAATTAGAACAACTATCTCTAAATGTTGATTGAAAATGGTCCGTTATTTTTAGTAAATTACGTTCAATTTTAGACAGGAGATGGTAAGTTGAGAGAGTGGCCGAATGAGATGAGCTACACCGTTTGGGGAATGAAATGACACATTGTTTCCTTATATACTATATAAGTTTTGGAAAAGGAAAATAAGTGGTTGGTTCAATTCAGTTTCAAACACCAAACTATAATCGATATGAAATAGCATTAACTTTTTTAGGCGATTCTGTCAATGCTCGAGTTTCTTCTTTTTTTTTCCTTTCTTTTGCACCATCCTAACTTCTCCGACAAACTCATGAATGTTGCTTTGTTTTCACAAGTATGATTCGTATGAAGTTTTACTTATCGAAAGACTACACAACACAAGATTTCACATTGCACTCTCTCCTTCAAAGTATAAACTTCGTGATTAGAATTTTGGGTAGCGAAAACTTGAAGATCAAGCTTGGAAATTATATTCGAAAGAGAATGTGGTTTTAGCGATAACTTTAGTTTCCCCTTCTTTTCCTCTCCCCTTCTTTCCTTGGAAGAACATTAAGTTTCCCCTTCTTTTCCTTGGAAGAACATTAAAAATGTCCTGATCAATCTGCCAAGTTATTCAAAAGGGGGTTAGAAAAAGCAGTACAAGGCTCTTTCACTTTCTGTTTCCAATTATAGAGATAAAGCCTTCAGGAATGTGGCTCTTGTTGCAGAAATAGTCTTAATCCTCCCATTAAAGGCATGACGTGGTCCTGATTGCTACTCTGCTCTTATTTGTGTGTAACCTCCAACTAACACTTCTGGTACTACTACTACTACAAAAGCTATTTGTCACGCTCTTACTCTTCAAGTAAGCAAACGTGTGGCCTTAGCACTCACTTAAATGCTAAGAAAGCCTAATTTACTCAAACTCACGAAGGCAGGCAAAGAGTAGACAAGTAAAGTTGTATTACTAGAAGAGAACTTTACAAGGCTATTTTGGAACTTAGTCCACAAATGAGGAGGCTCTCCTTGGCCACTTCTATGAACATTCTAGAATTCTATAGACCACTATCTAGTCTAGAACTCTCTAAAGAATTATACACAAGGTGGACATATCTACAAGTTTCTAGAGTATTCCACAAATGACTACTCTATTAAGAATCATTCGCAAGGTTCTAGAGAACTCCAAGGTTCTCCTAAAGTCTATACTTCTCTAGGATTATCTAGAATATTCCATATGGTAGACAATAGTAGAACATTCTAGAGAATCCTAGAGTCTTCTTGCAACCCTTTAACACTTAAAATGGGGCAAGAATTTGCGGATTGTGACATTCTCCCCCACCTAAGCTCGCGATGCCCTCATCGCGTCTTCTTCGTGGAATTGCCGAATATGGTCTTGAAATTGCCAAAGGGCATCCTCATGTTCCCAACTTGCTTCACTTTCCGGCAAGTTCTTCCACTTGATTAAGTATTCTCGATAGCTTGGCACACCACGCCTTCTAATGTGACGATATGTAAGTATACTCTCGACTTCCTTGTCGAAAGATGTCACGGCGGCGGGTGGTGCTCGTTTGGACTTCCTTCGACTGGGGTCTTCCATGTCTTCGTGATATGGCTTCAGGAGACTAACATGAAAGACTGGATGGATCTTGAGTTTGGAAAGCAATTGGAGTTTATAAGAGACCTTCCCAACACGTTTCAGCATTGGAAAGGGACCTTCATACC